AGTAGGATGGGATGAATATAATGAATATAATAAATAATAAATTAATTAAAAGTTTCTGCAGTGATCTTAAACATGTTTCAGTTCCATTACATACATAATCCTTAATTGTTTTGTGTTTTATTGGATAGTATGAAGATGGCAATTATAGTTTTTTAATTAAAAAGTTAAGCAAATAGATATTATTGTTAAATTATTAGAATTTTATTTATGAAATATTTAATTGTAACATCACCAAGCTTATTTAGATTGTTTGAATTTTACTGACTTTTTTAATATTAAAGACATTGTGACAGACATATTATATAGTACTGTAGACTGTCATCATGTAAGCGATAATCAGAATATTCATGATGTTTTGATTAAAATATAGCATGAAATAACAAACGTTTAACAAATTGTGTATATTGTATTTATTCATTATTCAATCTATCATAGAAATCATTGAGAAGTATGGTTTGAGTGAGTACTTCCCAAATGAGAAACTAACTCAAGGCAAAAAACCTACCAGAGATCCTGCTTACCAATTAAAAGATGAAAAACTGAAGGAATTACTGAAAAGAGCAAGAAAAGAAGGCTTTACAGGTACTATATAAATTTTAAATAATTCAAAAGATAGAAGTCATTAGATAACTAGAATTGTCTAAAAGAATGTAAGTTACTGAATTTAGATGATAAGTTTGACATAAGTTCATTTTACCTCTTGTTTGAATATTGAAAGAAAAAGGTGTGTAAATTATAATTATGTTTCTTCCAGTATGACAATGTGTTCCTAGATGATGTGTTTATAAGTAATAAATATTTGTGATTTTGTTACTATAGATACTGAGATGCAGCTTTTGAAGGAAGAGTTAGGACATCATCAGCTTAAACTAGATGAATATTTCTCCTTAAAACAGGAGTATGAAGCTTTAGAAGGTAGGATTGTATAAACTTCTTTATTTTGATTGATTCATGAACATTTATTATGTGTTCATACATATTTTTACTTTTATGGGGATGAATGTTTGTTGGATATTTAAAGCACTTTTGAATCTGTGTATTGGAATTAACCAATATTGGTGTCATTTAAGGGAACATGATTGTGTGGCCCAAGTAGCGAAGTAGGGCTTGAACCCCTGAATCCATTGGTTTAGGGTCTGACACCTTTACAAATACAGTAAATACTGGCCCAAGTGAGACAGGACCCGTGATCCTTCAGTTGAGGGTCTGTCACCTTAACCAATAGGATACTGCTCCCCTTTCTTTTATTTTACAAAACCTTTGGCTTTATGTTCTCCTCATTAATTACATTTTCAGTACAGCATCATTATAGTATTGTTTAAATGTAAAATTCTAAAAATAAGGCATTAAGTTTCTCTCTTGTTCAGAGTGGACTTGAAAAGAAAATATAACATGTACTGAATGTACAAATGATTGCATTGTCTTTTCTTCAGAAAAGGTTGACAACTCTTTGGACAATCTGGATGAGCAAGAGAAAGTATGGAGTGAGTTAGCTAAGAAAAAACAAGAAATGAAAGATAAACATAAAGATTATAGAGAAGGTTTGGAGAGATTAAAGGGAAAAGTTACAGATAAAGATAACTCTGCAGCAGTATTTGAAGATCCAAGAGTGTACAAGTTGTGGGCCTTGGCACAGAAAACTGGGATGAGTAAAGAAGAACTAGATTCTGTTAGGGTTGGTAGCAGTATTTCTGAAAAAAATAGCTCTCAAAATAGTCTTCTCACCAACATGTTAACAAAGTTATATCCATTATAGTGCTGAAAAAATTTTTCATGATTTTTGGCTTTTTTTGTCAACACAAAATTACAGAGTTGTTGTGAGATATATTATGAGCCCCTCCACACCCACTTGGTTGAGTAGTGAAGGTTGTTGACTGAGAATTAATTGGCTTTGTTAGCTATGGGTATGAACCTCGTTACTGGAAAGCTATTTCAAAAGCCAATTGCTGCCAGATACCTGGACACATTTTCAGTTAATAAAATGTAAGAAAAAATGTATCACAAAAGATATCAATAATTCCAGTCCAGATAGTAATATGCATGTTTTATGCTAAAATATGATTGAATTTAAAAGTTTTGATGATAATCATAATGCCACCTTTTACTGATAATTTTAAGTGCTAACTCTGCATATGTTTGGTATGATATAAAAAGTTATGTAATTTCTGTAGGTACTTAGTATTTAAGGTAAGCTTATGTCTTGACAAAAATTGCTAAATATAACAAATCTTGAAATAACCATGAATCAAGGGTCATGCTGCTGTACGGAGGATAGGTGGTTCTAATCAGGTGCCTGCTTTTATCTGAAATAATTGAAGGAGACACTTTTTAGCTCACCTGTCACAAAGTGACAGGGTGAGCTTTTGTGATCGCTTTTCGTCCGGCGTCCGTCCGTCCGTCCGTCCGTCGTCCGTCCGTCCGTAAACTTTTGCTTTAAATGACATCTCCTCATAAACCACTGAGCCAATTTCATCCAAACTTCACAGGAATGTTCCTTTGGTGGTCACCATTAAAAATTGTTCAAAGAATTTAATTCCATGCAGAACTCTGGTTGCCATGGCAACCAAAAGAAAAAACTTTAAATATCTTCTTTTAAAAAACCGTAAGAGCTAAAGCTTAGATATTTGGCATGAAACATCTTCTAGTAAGTGTCTACCAAGTTTGTTCAAATAAAAGCCCTGGGGTCAAAATTGGCCCCGCCCCAGGGGGTCATTGATTTTCCCTATATGCATATAGTAAAAACTTAAAAAATCTTCTTTTAAAGAACCCAAAGAGCCAGAGCTTAGATATTAAGCATGAAACATCTTCTAGTGAGTGTCTACCAAGTTTGTTCAAATTAAAGCCCTGGGGTCAAAATTGGCCCCGCCCCGGGGGTCATTGATTTTCCCTATAATTATGCATATAGTAAAAACTTAAAAAATCTTCTTTTAAAGAACCATAAAAGCTTAGATATTTGGCATGAAACATCTTCTAGTGAGTGTCTACCAAGTTTGTTCAAATAAAAGCCCTGGGGTCAAAATTGACCCCGCCCCAGGGGGTCATAGATTTTCCCTATATGCATATAGTAAAAACTTAAAAAATCTTCTTTTAAAGAACCCAAAGAGCTAGAGCTAAGATATTTAGCATGAAACATGTTCTAATGGGTGTCTACCAAGTATGTTCAAATAAAAGCCCTGGGGTCAAAACTGGCCCCGCCCGGGGGGGTCATTGATTTTCCTTATATGTGTATAGCAAAAAGTTAAAAATCTTCTTTGGAAAAACCCAAATAGCTAGTGTTTAGATATTAAGCATGAAACATCTTTAAGTAAATATCTACAAAGTTTGTTAAAATAAACACCCGGGGGCAAAACTGGCCCTGCTCCAGGGGTGTCATTGTTTTTAACTATATGTGTATAGTTAAAACTTTAAAAATCTTCTTTTAAAAAGCCAATGAGCTAGAACTTAGATGTTTAGCATGAAACATCTTCTTATGGGTGTCTACCAAGTCTGTTCAAATAAACAAATAAAAGCCCTTGGGTAAAAATTGGCCCGGGGGTGGGGGGGCCTATATACAGGTGAGCGACCTCAGGGCCATCATGGCCCTCTTGTTTATTCTTTCTCAGTCAGTATAGCTGGAAACTGGCCATTAAATTTTAATACTGGCAATATGACTTAAAACCAAACATGTCATATGTTTGTGAAGATAAGGTCTGTTTTGCTACATTCCAAGGTTTTAGAAGATAAAGTATGTGTAGAAGTTTTCTTCTAACTTTGTAAAATTTGTATGGAAGGTGACGAAGTAAGTTGATGAGTTAAAGCAAATCAATGCTCAGCAGTGTGAACCATGTTATTTGATCAAACATAAAAGTATATAAATCAATCATGTATTCATCAACAGTTTAGATTCTTTTAAGTTTGATGACTCCTACATCTGTTTGAAAACACTAATCTATTAATCAATCTTAATTTTGTCTCATCAAAGATGTGAGACTTTTAGTGTTAGGTTGAACTCTGTTGATATAAATTATAATAAAAAAAAAAATCTGAAAACCTATGTTGACTAATAGGAAAACATAGATGTAAAAGTTAAATAACATTATCTTTTTTGAAGTCAATAATCTTAGGTGCTGTTGGATAAAAGTGTAACATTAACAGATAATTTTATACAGTTATAATTACGGAATTTCAGAAAGAGCTGACACATTTTGAGAATCGTATAAGAAAGGCGGAGTATATACAGAATGAGCTGGAGAAAGCTGAGGAGAAACGTAAATCTGGAGGTCAGCTGGATACACGTCAACATGAGGAATTAAAACAAAAAGCTGAACAATTTAATAAAAAAGTAAATAGGAAACTTGCATACACAACAAAAGTTGTTCACATATTCTTTTACTAGGGGGGCCATAAGCCATTATTCATGGAATTGCACAAAAGTGTGACATTTGCATTTACATCATAATGGCTATATCTGTGGAAAGTTTTTTTTTAAATTCCAAATTTCACCATTGTCATGTTTAAATGTTGAATTTTGCTGAAGCCAGTGCTAGGAGGCTAAACTTACCGGTAAACGAACAATCTCAATGAACAACTGCAACGTTTCAATTTTTCAGGTTTTGGCGTTCCTAAGGGATTCCATTTTATCTTTTTTACTAATGCATTGCTGATAAACATCAGATATGCAATAAATAACTATGTTAGAACAGTTAGAAATAAATGAACACATCTTGCTGTTAGTAACTGTGTCAATTATATTCCAGAAGTTAATTTTTTTTCTTTCTTTTTTTTTCAAAAACTGTGTCCAGCGAGCTGACTAGGTCATTTTTCTGACAGTTTTTGTGTGCAAGTTGGTTTCTCCAAACTACTGAAGGGAATGGGTCAAAACTTCACACACTTGTTCTCTATGATTATCTAACTTGATGGGTACAGGTTTCATAACTCTGAGTTACCTTTTACAAAGTCATGTCCCTTTTCTAACTGTCAAGCATAGAATAGTCAAGTGTACTGTAATAACATACAGCTTTTTAATGCAGTATTATCTTTATACATTATATATATGAATATACATCTTTTGGTTAAATTTCCATCAACAAAACAATTCAGTCAATGGAATATTACACAAATAGTTAGACTAAATAATTTAATGTAATCTTGTTAATTTTCAGGTTGATAAATACCATAAAGATTTGGAAAGTAAAATATTTAAACATCTTGATGAATTATAACAGACATTATTGCCAGAACTATGATAATCAGAGTGCTTCCAGCAAGAATATAGAACCATAGTGTAAGAAATTTAACTTTGGTTGACTAACAGAAGTATATTGAATCTAATTGATTAACTGTGAGATTGACAACATATGTAAGCAGTTCACCATTGAATGTAAACAAAGAAGCTTGAAGAATAAGACTGCTATAAACTGATATTTTGGGGATTGTTTACCAGTGCCAGCGGAAAAATTAACCATATGGGTGCACATTCACTGATACAGCGGTAGTGTTTACTTAAGAAGAATGTAGTTTGATGTATAACAGTATAACAATAGTTCAGTAAAACTGATGCTAGGGACACGAAGCATCTTGAAGCAGACAGTCCATTCACATCATTGAGTTTATTGTTGTCATGTCCTGTCATTGATTGATGGGAAGTGGACTGAAGTTATCTTTAGTAAAACTGATGGTAAAACTGAGATACTTCATGATGCACCGACAGAAACTGCCAGAAAGGTACTATAGCTCAACATAAAGTGTCTGATCTGAATTCTTACATGTGAAGAAGTTATCCACCTAGTTACAGAACATTGGTGTTTCTTCATGCATGAAGCATTGCACGGAAGGGTACCTGAGGTCTTCCGTCACCAGTGAAGCTTGAACTTAGTCATATGACCTATACTTTGTTGGTGTGATGTAAAACCCAAAACAAACAAAATCTGTGATGGAAAACAGTAGGATATATAGGAAACATTGTAAAATGTAATTAAATACTACACAGAGGATTCACTGTTACAGCTCTGCTGTTGCTGGCATATTGAATCCAATGGGAATGTTTTATTTTGATATTATTTTTTTTATTGGAAAAGGACTTAGAAAAATAATTACAGAAACAGTTATTTTTGTTAAGAAAAGTTCAGTTGGTAACATATATATAACTTGGTTTATTGTTTTAAATACAATTATGGTCTTTGAAAATCGAGTATCTTTAGTTTACAGAAGAATCTCACTTTATTATATCTACATTGTAATCTGAAATGTAACATAAGGTAAAAATAGTATTTTGTATTGTTTGTGTTATTTGAATCAGTTGAACGTACAATACATATGTCTATATAACTAAATGTTTTTATTTTGATTTTTTGTGTCTTTTTCACTTATTTATAGATAACAGTTTCCATGGAGCATAAAGTTACCTGTAAGTCTTCCCTTCCAAAAAGCACCTTCTTTTATTGATTTATATCTGGAGTATTGTTGGTATGTTGGTACCATCAATGGCCCTCTGTGTAGGGTTAGGTTTCTGGTTGATTGGGTCAAGGCTATTGAGACTAAAATAAGATATCTCTACTTCCCCTCATAGGGAGGCCATGTTTTAAAGATAGTGTTCAGGAAGTATTTAATGTGTTACAGATAAATTTGTTATGTATTGTATTATTTTAATATTGTAATCTGCTCTTATATTTCATCTAAATTCATGTTTCATAGATGTATTTCAGTATATTCATTAAAAATTGAATTAATTCCATGTTTAATGTGAAATAATAATATATCATACAATTAAACATGAACAACTACGAGGGGTGTTCAAAAAGTTTTGAGACTGTAGCAATGAAATAAAAACAACAATATGTATCAATTTTTTTTCTATTTTAATCCCTCAAAATAGTTTCCATGAACTCGAATACACTTCTGAAGTCGATCTATCCACCTCCGGAAAGCGTCAGAGTAGTTCCCCTTGGGGATACCCAAAAGGCACTGGTAGAGCGCACTTCCCAGCGCGCTGCGTGATGCGTAACGCCGTCCAGAAAGCCGTTTCTTGACTTCGGGGAAGAGGAAAAAGTTGCACGGACTTAGATCGAGAGAATAAGGGGGGTGCTTCACTTGTACAATTTTTTCTTCCTCGATGAACCTTTGTACTATATCACATTTATGAGATGAAGCGTTATCATGAATGAGGTACAACCCTCTTAAACCAATTCTTGGGCGACGATTTTCATAAAACGCCTTGACACGTTTCAAAATCGAGTATTATGAAAGTTTTATATGAAACTTGACTTCATAAAAGTTAAATCTCAACCATGACTTGGACTGAAACAGTATGACTTATCTCCCTGTTATTTATCCATGTCTTTATCCCAAACAGAAGATACATTATCACAACACTCTTGAAATAAGAAGAACAAAGTCTGGCATTTTTCCATTTTTTTATTGCAATATTTATCCTGAGACAACAATGGTTCTGTAAAAATATTTCAAATGCTGTTATACACATGATATACAATTTAGTCTTAGATGGAAATTCATGTCAAACTCAATCATCAGATGAGCAAATATAAATTGTGAACAACTGATATTATGGATCTTTTCTGCTTCAAAATTAATGATAATAAATCATTAACAACTTTTGTATATATGTAAATAAAACTTAATAGTCTTTAACATCACTCTTGCATCTTGCAATACACAATGCCCAAAGCAAATGACTGAAATTTTAATATATATGTAATAGAAAATTTCTTGCAGTTCTGTTTAATAAATGAATAAATGATAGCATACAGACAAATTTATCAAATACAGTCATTATCTATCTACATAGTTAATTGTTATACTGACATACCAACACACATATTTAAAAAAAAAAGATCTTTGTAACACAAAAGATAATATTCCTGATAAACATGTGAAGCAGTCAAGCTTATGGATGGGTCCCTTGGCAATGATGTTACTGTTTAAGAAAAAAAAATCTTTTAAAACAAATATTTTTTCTGTTTATTTTCAAACAATTATAAACAGCAACTGATGGTCATAAAATGCAAAGTTTAACATATTGTTAAAGTACAAGATTATTAACATTAAGCAAAATAATAATTTTGTCTGGCAGTTTGGCAGTGTAAAGTGTTTTTCAACATGATATTAGTAGTATTGTATATACATCAACATAGAGAATACTGTGAGTAGCAGCCAATCTGTGTACAGCAGTCACTTTAATCTCTTCCCTTCAGTGGCTGCTGTACACAGGTTTGACTGTACTACAATTATTTCATATATAAATTGCATCTCTATATTTAGAGCAGGAAAGAAAATGGTAAGATGGTGGGAGGGATGATGGGTATGTAAAACAACATGCAAGTTATAAATACAGAAGATATTAAAAATAGTAAAACCTGAAAACTTGTATAAAATAAGTACAATAAGTTTACTGTAAAAGTATCTTTGTACGAATCTTACATTTTATATTCTAGTATATCACATTACGGTGCCAATTTTGAAACTCCGTTAAAATGGTACTGCATGGCCGTGCGTATATTTTAATGTGACGTTAATGTTATACAAAATCAGTATAAAGACCCGCTAAATGTTAGCATTACACTATAGTGAAAATTTATTCTTTTGCACTTTAAACAGTCTTTATTTTGGGTATGTGATAAATAGAACATCATATTCGTGTAGGTTCATTACTGAATTTATTGAACTCATTGAATAAAATAATATTTTTCTTACCAGAGGCTCGCATAATACAATTTTATTCAACTTGTTCAATTAATTCAGTATTGAACCTACACTCTTTCAATATCCACAATTGATTTTACTAGGCAGAAGTATCAGGCACAAGAATGTGATATGTTCTAATCTATGAGAACCAAATACACGTTTTTATAAATAAAGATAGTCTTACAATACCATTTGTACAATATATACATGAAATATAGCACTAAAATCATGTAGGTAATCTTAATAATTGAGGTTCAATGCTTTATAAAATAAACAATTTAAAAACATTTTGGAATTCTTATACAGTAACCATTTGTGTACATTTATACATCTGTACTGACTGTCTTATTTACAACAAACATACATCTCTAGAGTGTGTATCCTTCATCAAATATTGCAGATATACTGTATCTACAACATAAATCATTCATCTTAATGAATCATAACACATGTAATACTATTCAACATCATTTCGTTAAGCTTTAAAACAAATAAGTATTTTTTATTTTTTAATTTAAAAACTTGCTTTTTTCCAAAACAATCTAGTAAAACATGCTAAAACTTTGTAGTATAAACTATACAAAAACTAGTAGTATATACTATACACGTAGGGAGAATTTTATGTAGCTACAAACAAAATGAAGTTTTGCCATAGCTTTCAGTAACTAAATAAATGCAACAGAAAATATCTTAACAACATATTTGTAACTTGGCTGCACTACTTAACATCGTACATGTATGAATAGTAACTTTCAATAAAATAAATGAACAATTTAGCTTCTTGATTTTTTTTTTTTTTTTGCAATATTGCCCATTACTAACATTATGATGAAAGACAATGTCATTTGATATACACCATAAGTATATTTGGAGTTTCTAAAAACCTAAATGATAAAAAGAAATGCATTACTAAATGACAGTTACAATAACAAGAAGATCTTACAACCATAAAAACAAGAAATTTACCCCACAGGTAGTTCCATAAGAAAAAAACTTGTTTATTGGCTGAATTCAAACTTCTTTTAGGCCGAATTCACACTGAGTTATGGTGAACTTTTTTTTTTACATATATGTCGATGAAACTTTTAAATTGATAGATTAATATCAAAAACAAATAGATATAAACAGCAACAATGTTATAGTTATGGTAATTTTATCTATATGAAAGTCTCAAAATTTAAATTTCTGAACACAAAGTAAATCTTCAACATTTAAAAATACACTGAAGTGTATTTTAGTGTAAAATGCCTCCACGATATTGTGATAACAAAAACAGACCTGCACTTTAGTGTATCCTGTAAAAGATATTAAAATTTATCATACACCATGTTCTCACTTAAACTCCCTTCTTAACTTCCACACTAGACCTCCGTCCACTTTTTCCTGATCACAGATACTGCGTAACAAAGCTCGGAACTTGGCAGAGTCCTCTGAGGGAAGCTTGGAACCAAACTCGTCCAACAGTTCCTTCGTTGAAGCTTGTCCAAATTTCTTACATTCAAACATGATAAACTCTCTCATACGTTTAATGAGATCTAGAGAGCTCGGGTCTGACACAAACACGTCTACATTATCATCATCGTCCGCACCTTCTTCACCCGCAGTCTTGGAGAACACTTCATTACGAACTCGCATTTTATTGAGCAGATCTGTAGATGAGACAGCAGACGACACTGTGGTTCCCGTTTTAAGGTTAGTCTGTACACTGCCTGCTAGGGAACCATCAAAATGCTGATCCTGGGACCCTTCTGTACTGTCATCTTCCACCTACATTTACAGGTAACTTGTCATTACTTAGCTAATATATAATCAATTCCTAAAATTACCTTAAAAATTTTCAACATTAAAAAGCTTAAACAAGAACTTTTTTTTAATTTGTAAAACTTGTACAGATAAACATTGCTAACAGGTTCCGTGTAGGCACCAATGCATAGATCCCTGACCTGTCCAATTCTGGTTATCAGATTAATGGACACAATAAGAATTCAATGTTTGTGAGTAAATCTATTGTTATTCAAATAAAAGGTTAAAGTAAGGATCTATCAATAGCCAAATGATTGCTTACATACATTATTTTATTTTATAACATTTAAAGTTGCAGAGTGATTAATGTAAAAGATACACTTGCATATTGCTGCCAGTATTAAATTATTGCAGCATCATTCAAATCCATAAAAAAATTCATACATACCAGTATCAAATAAAGGAGCAAGATTGCAATAGTCAGGTGATAATAGAGCTTTTAATAAAAACAAAATTTCTGTTTCAATGATTACTAAGTTTACCTTGACTGGAGTTGATTTTAATGGTCTTTCTAATGCTGTCTGTAAAATTGTGTTCTTTTTCTGTCCGAATCTTGGCCTGTAAAAATCAAATTATCACCATTTATTTGTACAAAGAAATATTATGTATATCTACAAATAAGGCACAAAGAAATATTAGCTAATATATACTATGTATAAAAGTAGATCTTGTTTATAACATCAGCATGACACCATGACAACAAGATGATGTCATCTGACAAAGTGTTTGTTTGATGGTTATTTTTTGAATTTAAAACATTTTTTCTTCTTCTTTTTTTTGTCATATCTTGGCGGTTAGTCCAACTCACCAGCCTGGATAGATAACCGATGATTACCAATTTCTCCCCAAGTGACTTATTTCTCCCTAATTGTCAGCCTACTTATCCCACATGATTTCTGAACCAGGTGTAAGAGACAAATGACCATGAGATCAATTATAACATTTTGGAAAAATCACTGCCAATATTACTGACCTTTTCACACCATGTTGTCCCGTCCAAGTTGGTACTCCAGCTGTTGCTGGGAGACAGTGTGTCCGAGACTTCTTCAGAGCTAAACTTGCCTCCCTAGCTACTTTATCAGCTTCAGATTCTACAATAACATAGTCTGACTGACCTGGATCCATCACTTTATCATGGTGTAACGCCCCCTGGATACCTGTAAAACAGAAATTTACCACACTATAATATAGTCTATAGACTAAACAAAAATTTATCAGACTATAAAATCAATGCAAATAAATAGAAAATATACTGATAACATACAAGTCATTAAAAGCTACAATAAATACATGTATATAAATAGAATGAGCTGACCATTCATGTCTAGTTATTTTCTACTGACTTTACATATCAATAAACAAGTATACAAATTACAACACAGCTGTTGAAGAAATAAATTCTCTTTGAAGTGACTCCTTAACTTATATCAAGGATAAAAGCTTTTATATGGAAGGTGAAAACTTTTTATGGAACATAAAAACTTTTAATTTAGGGTAAAAAAAATTCAAAATTAAGCTTGAGCTTGAAGACACGGCTGTTTTCCTCACATATAACTTTTCAAATCTTTTTCTTAGTATGCTAATAACACATGAGGCATGTACCTGTTTTCTTGAATAAAGTTTTCAGGACATAGTTGTCCATTGCCTCGGATTCCTGAGCTTGTTGAGGTGTTTCTGATGGTGCTGTATAGTTCCTGGTCTTATCTAAATGAGGAATTCTCTCTCCTTCAAACTCTGTAATAGTTTTATTTAAACAACAAATATTACATGTTATATTCTAATTTGAACCTGACAACACTATATTTATACAATGCACTTGGCTCACACTGAATCTGGAACCGTCCATTATTATTATCATGGAATTCAATAGCAAAGTCCTTAAAATGAGCAACAGGCAGATTAAAATCTTGTCAGATTGACCAACAAACTATACAGGCAGTTTAAAAATATGGTCTGACCAACAAAGATGAATGTACGAGCTGACAGAGCTTTAACCTGGTGGCAAAGTCAAGATGTGTTTTTTCAGGCTTGCATTGAAGAATTTAATGAACATAAGGACATAATGACAATGTATTATCCTTATATAGAGCCTTGTCCAGTTAAATGAACTAAAGGTATAACATGTTTACCTACAGGTCTTAAAATATTTAGCAACCGGCCATTTTTTATATCTTATACATGTATCTAGTCGGATTACAAATGATAAGTTTTTTTACATTGTTTCTGTTCAAAGTGACCATTTTGTCATCCATTTACCATTGATGATTGAAAGATTATTATAATGAATATCTCTACTTACATATAGATTTGTATATATATATAAAAAGCACTACATTAAAGTAGCTAAAATAGCAAATACTTTTCTAACAAACTTACTCGCATCTTTCCTTTTATGTTTCTTCTTTTTCTTTTTATGTTTATCTACTTTCTGTTCCTCTCTGCCCTTTGACTTTTTCTCCCCTGGTTCCCCGGTCGATCTCTCTTTTCTGTCTGATTTCCTTTTGTTATCATTCTCTTTACTTTTATCACAGTCTCTAACATTATCTTTCACTCTGTCAGACAATTCATTTACACTAGTCCCCGCAACATTCAATGACTCTGAACTTGGTTTCTTTTTTATCTTAAACTGTTTTAACTTGTCTCTATCACTGAATGAACCTGGTTCCTGAACACTAGATCCTGATATAGCTTTCTTACTTTCCTGAGATTTATCTGTATTGGACATTCCTTTAGAACTGGTACCAGCACAGTCTGCACCCTCAGATTTTTTACTCTTAGAGTCCGACCCTGAATCTGATCCAGTTTTTGAAGTGTTCATTAATTTAGAGAATTTATCTCGTTCCATTTTCTGGCTCAGTTTTCTCGCCATTTCTCTCATTCTCTTAATCTCATCTTTATCAAAGTTAAGCTCGGCATTGGTGTTTCTCTCCACATCGTCAGAATTCTCTTCTTCCTTCTCTTTCTCTAACCTCTTCTTCTCTTCCTTTATTCTGTAATCATCACAACTTTTACATTACAATCTATTCTGTAAGTATGAAATGTTAAGGAAATGTTGACTGTTCGGCCAGTCTGCAGAATCCAAAAATAGCTGAACATGGACAAACATTGCACAGAAATGAATCTTATATTTTGAAACTTATATTTTCTAGAAGATTGTAACCTGTAGATTCTAAAAACACTAAGTCTAACATAAAACCTATAGTCACATCAATATAAGGTTCAACTATTAGAACTTTAGAGCAATTTTCATCCAAAAAAAAAGACAAAAACTTATTGAAAAGTTATCAGTTTGATGCCAACTTAATAAGTAATTTCTTACGTTAGTAAACAAATTGTAAATATAACAATCATTTGAAAAGTATTAAATGTTTCAAAGAGCACTTATGAATTGCAAGAAAACTGTCTTCAAACAAAAAGATCTTGTTTTGTCAATTCATACTACCCTAAAATTTCAAAAAGAAAATACTATTTAATTATTTCAAAATTAAGTATAAATTTACAAATTGGTAACTTACTTATCAAATCTGTTTTTGCTGCTAACTGTTTTGACCGAGACGTCAGAGCCGGTCCCAGCAAATAATGCCGTGGTTTCTGTCTCCCCTTTATCATCACTCAATCCGAGACTGAACAATTCATACAGATCATTTGTTTTAAATAATCTACGCTGTTTAGGATCCTTTAACACTCTGTTGGTTAAAAACTGCTTAAATATTTGCCTGAAAACACACAATATGTACTTTTCCTAAAAACACAATTATATCTTCAGATTTGAGCACAGTAAATTTGTTTAAAAAATAATTTCATTTTTAATATTGGTGAACTATTTAATATGACTTGAGTGTATGACAATAGCTTTTATGTAATTTGTATAATTATTGACAAGTAATGCAAATCTCAATTCACATTTATTGTACATAAAGTTGGTACATAATCAAAGTTTTCACATAATGATCAACAAATGCTTAGAATTAAAAGATACATTAATAAACAACAGTGCTGTAAACATGCATCATCTTATAGGTATACCTGTGGTAAATTTTTTCCTCTATAGATCCTGTGGTCAGTAACCTGTATATGGTCACCTGACGTTTCTGACCAATCCTCCAAGCTCTCTCCCTTGCCTGCATGTCAGTGCTCGGGTTCCAGTCTGGATCATAGATGATGATTCTGTTAGCACCAACAAGATTCACGCCCAAACCTCCTACCCTTGTTGTCAACAGGAACAAGTAAATACTCGGATCCTACATAAAATAGTATATGTTATCATGTTAGTACAGTAACAGGTTAACTCCTATTAAATTATATAAGGAGTTAACCTGTTACTGTACTAAGATGACAATTTTTCCAATATAAGGTTGAAATATTAAACATTGGCATACATAACAAAACATCAAGCCATATATTGTTGTTATGTCCTAAATTCTTTTAAATAGACCAGTTATGTAAAATTTCTATTGTCATAATATCATCTTTTACCCCACTACCTTAAAGTCCTTTGTAAAGCAGAGTTAATATTCTTGAAATTTGGATCTGTACAATGAAATGTCCAGCAACTTAATTTTCAAAATATTGCATTGTAGTAACCAGCATTTTGTGCAATGCTGATCTGACTCTTACCTAATAACAAAGGCATGTTATTAACAAGTTTGTAAGCTTGAAGAGAGTTAATCAGAGTTGAGAATGTAGAACTTACTGTATTGTATCGTTGTACAAGAGGTTGTCTGGAGGATATTCCTGTACCACCATCCATTCTTACATACGTATATCTCTTCTCCTGTACATACTTCTCTATTACATCTAACATCTGTCATAATGTAAACGTATAGTATTAAACATGAAATAACAAATCACTGAACAATTATTCTTTAAGAAATGTTTAAATAACCATTCTCTCGTAGTCAAAGACTTCTCCATAAATTATTATTAATTCTTTCATACTTACAGCATTTTATCTTTTAGGCTGTACATGAAAAATTTATCATGTCAACTTTAGGTCGTACAGAAAAAATTTATCATGTCAACTTTAGGTCGTACAGGAAAAATTTATTATGTCAACTTTAGGTCGTACATGAAAAATTTATCATGTCAACTTTAGGTCGTACAGGAAAAATTATCATTTCAACTTTAGGTCGTACATGAAAAATTTATCATGTCAACTTTAGGTAGTACAAGAAAAATTTATCATATCAACTTTAGGTCATACATAAAAAATTTATCATTAAACCTTCAAAAAAAAAAATTTCCAACAAAAGTATCACCTGTTTACTCTGTGTGAAGAGCAGAGCTCTATGTCCTTGTTTTTTCCAGAGTTTCAGTAAAGCATCAACAACAATCATCTTGCCAGCTCTCTTCCAGTAACCATATTCCTGTGTCGGATCATTGTCAGAGTTATCTCCCCCAAATACTCTTGGTCCTCCAGTAGCAAGGTCAGGGTGATTACAGATCTTTCGCAATTGTATTAGTCCAGAAAATACCTGTGTAAACAAATCATAGCTTAATAACTCTACTATTTCAATCTTTGATTATTACCATTAATGAAACTCTGTTTATTTTTCAAGTAAATACATATAATCAAAGTGTGATAATGGAGAGAAACTATACTGTCTCATACCTCAATATTCACATTTTTTATTATTTGAATGTATATTCTGTATATGTTTATTGGCTGGTAGCCATATATCACAAATCAAAGTATCCAAGGTGATAATAGAGAATTTATACTGCCTCATACCAGAGACTGTAAGATCAAAACGAAATAAAAATCTATAATAAATAACATACAGTATAAATGTGTGTTTTTCACATTTTTCATCTGTAAGACTGAAAGATCCACATTAATTACAAGACACTTACTGTTAAGATGGAAATGACATAGTAACTTTGATATATTATTTACCAAAAGTCTTCCTCGCAGTATTTCATGACATTCTCTCGACGCTAGATATTCCTCGTACACTTCTCTCTGCTCCTTACTTAGCCGACAAAATAAAACCTACAATATTAAAAAGCACATTTAGTCAACATTTACAGTGAAGTAAATCATCATTCATGGTGAAAAAATTTCATCAAAATCAAGTTGAAGATTGTAATTTGTAATAATTGTAATCACTTGGAATTGAAAGTTATTAAAATGTAATTGATAACATTTTGAAGTAATCATATCTCATGTATAATAGAAAAACCTTCAGCTTGAATGTACAGTCAACATTGATAAAAATTTATTTATTATAATTATGATATATATAAATAGACCTGTTCATTTTTGCCTGGAAGATTTATGTTCATCTTCACATCAGCTTTCATTCTACGTAGGAGGTATGGATTAATGGTGTCCCTCAAAACACACGCACATTTGTATGCTGACTGAACCTAAAATGTGAAACATTAATTCATAAGTTATATACATGACTTGTATATAAATAATTCTGGGTCACCACCTGTCATAGCATAATGCAAACAGTTTACTACTACTAAAAATATTGGACAATTCATTTAAGTTCTTTGTTAATAGAAATAATCATTTTTGCTCATTAACAAAACCAATTACTTTAAATTTAAATAAAATGGATGCAGTCTAAGTGCACACAGCACAATTTAGGTAAAATATTCTCAGATTATTCTGGATAACTTGTCACAAAATAACATTGCTTTCCCTTCTTTGTTTTGGGATTTACATCATACATTGTAATGGTCATAATTATGATGACTTCCCAGCTTTTACTGACAGAGCAAGACCTCAGGTGCACCTCTGTGTCATAATTATGATGACTTCCCAGCTTTTACTGACAGAGTAAGACCTCAGGTGCCCCTCTGTGCATTATTTTCAGGTACTAATGGGGAACTAAGTAGAACCACTGATGTCCCATAAGCTAGCTAGAGAGCTTCCCTACATGAAAAAATCTTAAGTCCCTAATGGAATTCAAATTCACATTACTAATTGTGTATTAAACAAACCTGAACATCAGATGCATTAGAGTAACCTCCCTGTACAATAGGTACAGCAAAATGTTGCAGAAAGTCTGGCAATGTGCCAAGTTTCCCAGGAAACACAAAATCCATCAATGACCACAGTTCCTTCAGATTGTTCTGTATTGGTGAACCAGACAAGATGATCCGGTGTGGTGTACGGAACTGTTTATATAAGAATATCATAAACAAGATTAAATATTTCTCTCTCATTTCTTTTGAGTAATTCCTTTATCTTCTTATTCCTATTTTATTTATCTATATTGACTTATATATTGGTACTGTATGGTAGCTTTACACTCATGCATTATGGTTTTCTATAGTCAGATATGTTATAATGCAAGGTGCAATAGAAAATATTCTTTATATCACAAACTTATATTTCATGCACATAATAAATAACAAATCACTGATTATCTTGATAAAGAAACATTCAAATCTATTTAACCTTTACCACTAAAAACCTTAAATGGACTGGTCAATCTTTCAATTTGGACAAAACCATCTATCATTTTAAGAGAAAACTTCAAAATATGTAGTGAAGGAATATTGAAAAGTGTGGACCATGATCTGATGGCACAGATCACATGACAGAAGCCGCCAGTAGACGTAACATTAATAAACCCTCTCCATTCAGAAAAAAAGCAGTCTCTTTAATTTCCTTTGACTAAAGCATTGCAAAACATTTATGACATAAACACTATAACTTATAAATGTTCAAAGGACATACCTGTTTACATACAAGAGTGGCCTTGACATCAGGGTTTCGTATTTTATGTCCCTCGTCTAAGATGATATAATGCCAGTCATAAGGTAGTAAATTATCTTGTTGAAGAACTAGTGTACTGTATGACGTCACTAGAACACCACTACTCTTAACTACCTGACGTATCAAATCTCTCTGTAAACAAAATAATAAATATTAATATTAAAAATTAGTCATCTGAAACATTGCTGATAATGTAGTCAAAATCAAATATAAACTGGAATAGAATACAGATACCCTTATAATCTACTGTTTTTATCAGTGTACAAACAAACAATGTGACAACTGGATGGACAAACAAGGGCAAATTTATACTGCCCCCAGGGGGTGGGGGCGGGGGCAATAAATCATCAAAGATATAAATATTTCTAGTTAGTAAATTATAGTCAGTGTTTTACACCTGATAATATGAATCTCACCTCAATATATTTCACTTAAAATCTTAAATTATAGGGAAACATCTTTACATATATCTTCCATCACCCAATAACAGACACATTTTATCGAACTAATACAAAAACTAAAATTGTCACTCATATAGATTAAACCCTCAAGAATAATCAGTTAATGTATCACATCAGTTGATGATAATGATGTTTAATAACAGAATTGCTTTTATTCCTGAATTATTCATCTTCAAACACTTCTCTCACATTTACCTCCTAATTTCAACATGCTTAGCATTTCAAGTAATGACTATTTGGTCATAAGTTCTAAGACGGACCTTCTATATTCAAGTGCCAGCTTTTAACTTAAAATTAAGACATTTCATAAGCTAACCTCTTTTCCGACAAATGTTCCGGAACCATGTAGGATAGCTACTCTAAAAGACGGCCACCATGTGTGAAACTCCTTAACCCACTGATGCATTACAGTAGCAGGACATACAATAATAGATGGTCCCAGACCTACATAACTGAAATATATATATACAATAATAGATGGTCCCAGACCTACATAACTTAAATATAAGTCATGTTTAATGATGCATTACAATGTTACAATAAAAAGACGATTCCTCTTGACCTGTCCTAACATACTCATTTCTCAAGTCATATATGTATTCATTTAACAGTTTGATAGAAATATGGTAATATAAATGAAAATTAAAAAAGTGTAACAAGGCAAAGAACAGCCATGACTGTACATGAGCAATAGGTTATTTTGAAAACAACAGGGTATATTTTGATACAAAGTATACAGTCATTGTATACAGTCATAGATTGACACAGACATTGTGATTTGAATAGACAATCTTAATATTTCATAAGTAAATCTTAATTATGACATTGAGAAGGGAAAAATGAAAAAACAAGATTGCATTTGAGAAAAATGCTATGCCACCGCATGGTTCAAATTTCATAGCTGTACATCAAAGGACAAGAAAGTAGGTCACATCATCAAAATCTAGGTCACCTGATATCAAAGTTCAATTTTACAACTAAAACTGTGCACGTGGTCAAAATGTCATTGCTGTACATCAAAGGACAAGAAAGTAGGTCACTGTCCCCTTGGGCAAGGCATAATTTTGACCCAAGGGTTTAATTCAAAACAATTTTGATACAGGTCCACCAAATAACATTTCAAGTCAAATATCTAAGCTATAGCTTTCTCCCATTCAGAAAACATTTGTTTTATTTTCTGTTTTTACTATGTGTACATAATGAGAATCACTGCCCCCGGGCAGGGCCAATTTTGACACCAGGGGAAAATTTTGAACAACTTTGGTAGAGGACCTATAAATGATATTATATATCAAACATCAAAGCTCTATGCCTTGTACTTTCAGACAAAAATATTTTTCATTTTTTCACTATATGTACATAATGAAAATCAATGACCCCCAGGGGTGGGGCCAATTTTGACCCCAGGGCTATAATTTGAACAATCTTGCAAGAGGTTCACTACACAATGTTTCATGCAAAATATCTTAACTCTAGCCTTTGTAAATTTAGAGAAGATGATTTTTTAAGTTTTTACTATATACATATAAGGAAAACCTATGGCCACCGGGGGCGGAGCTAATTTTGACACAAGAGGCAAAATTTGAATAACTTTTGTAGAGTACCTTTAGATGATATTATTTAACAAATATTAAAGCTCTAAGCCTTGTACCTTCAGACAATAAGATTTATTTATTTTTTACTATATGTATATATTGAAATCAATGACCCCAAGGGTGGGGGCAATTTTGACCCCAGGGCTATAATTTGAACAATCTTGCTAGAGGTTTACTACACAATGTTTCAAGCAAAATATCTAACCTCTAGCATTTGTCAATTGCTAGAAGAATTTTTTTTGAAGTTTTTACTATAAGTTTTTACTATATACATATAAGGAAAACCAATGACCTCCGGGCGGGGCCGATTTTGACCCCAGGGCTATGATTTGAACAATCTGGGTAGAGGTTTACCAGACAATGTTAATGCAAAATATATAAGCTCTAGGCCTTTTGGGTCTTTACAAGAAGGTGTTTTAAGTTTTTACTATATGTACATATAGTGAAAATCAATGACCCCGGGGCGGGGCCGATTTTGACCCAAGGGCTATAATTTGAACAATCTTGGTAAGGGTCTACCAGACGATGCCTTATGCAAAATATCTAAGCTCTAGGCCTTTTGGGTTTTTACAAGAAGATTTTTTAAATTTATTCTTATAATTCCTTTTGGTTGCCATGGCAACCAGATTTCTGCATGGAATGAAATTCTTTGAACAACTTTGGAAGCCCTTCACCCAAGGAACAATCCTGCCAAGTTTGGTTGAAATTGGACTAGTGGTTTTTCACAAGAAGATTTTTTAAGTTCACTATATAATCTATATAACACACACACAAACACACACACAAACACACACACACACAGGTGAATCGCTATATGCCACCGCATCGCAGATGCTGCGGTGGCATAAAAAACCTGTATAATATTATGAAATAAGAAGTCAACATACTTGAAGTTTCTACTCCTCAATCTGGAGTATTTTAGGCCAGCTAGGAAAGCTATAGCCTGTATTGTCTTTCCCAGTCCCATCTCATCACCTACAATACCACCAGCTTGCTGACAATGTAGCTCCCATAACCATTTTACACAGGTCTTCTGATATCTTTAAACATAACAGACTTATTTTATGAATTTATACATACATTAACTAAGTCCATCAAATTATGCAAAGGGTATCATTATACAAAAGAAATTCACTTCTATAAAAGGATAGCAATGCCATTCTACTTTGCAGCTTTGAGTATTTAAGGTTTTGCAGGTATTACTGTTAAATATTTCAGTCTTATACTATTTCTGGCGAATAAATATGACAATGACAATACAATCTTCTATACATGGTTTTGGTTTGAAAAAGAGGTCCACAGTTTTGTTTACAGCGTATTTCAAAGACTTTCCCAGATCAGTAAACAAAGAGAACTTTAAATGAGGGCAAATATTCATTCCCCACTAAGTATTAAATCACTAATTGCACACATGAGTGTATACGTACTTGTATAATTTACTCCAGATTCTGCCTGGTACTTTCATACCACCATCAAACTCTTCGTCATCCTCAGAGTCACTCATCTGACCCGCCTCCCGCGCTCTCTGCTTCCATAACTCACTCTTGTGAAACTTTCTACAATTTGAAACATTTGTATTATATTAATACCCAACATAAATGTGTTACTCAACAAAAATTTGTTACCAACTAATACTTAACAACAATTTATAATAAATTTAATATACTGAAAAATTTAACGCGACAAATACATTACAATTAATATAATTGAGAAGTACAAAGACCCATGCAAAAGTATGGTATACTAAATCTCATTCTGAACTAAACAAAGGTTTTCACATGTAGGTGTTTAACATTGAGTATTATATACAGTGAATTAGATAAAACCTTAAACTGATACATTTGAAAAATTATTGTATTCATTAAATAATTGAGAAATACCTTCTTCTACAGTACAATGCTGTTCATATTGTGTTTAGTTTCATAATTTCTTTTGATCATGGTAATATATTATTATTATCTAATAATGAGATACATAATTCTTTTCATCCGTATTCAGATATAGTCCGGCTACAGTGAAAATTATATTACAATAAAACACTGGAAAGCATGAAATAATTGTTTACAATATATGGAATCAATAACAAGATATATATATATAACATATTATTTTTTTTTGCCTATGTATAAAAGTCTTGTATATAAATGTAAACAATATGAACATACTCCATTCTGTCTTCATAATATTCCTCGTGACCATCATCTCTATACTTCCTAATTGCCTTTGCCCTCGGCACTCTCTCATCACCACCCTCGTCCGAATCCTCACTATGACTATGGTAAATGGGTCGATTATGAACCTTTGACCATTTTTTTTTCTTCTTGTTTCTCTTCTCTTTTTCTAAAAATAAATATAATTTAAAAAAATGCAAATCAAGAGGTGATATCTAAAGAAGCAGGTTTCAAACTGATGATAGAAACAATATTATATATAACATACTGAAAGAACAGTTTCACCTATATTATGACATAAAACTAAAAATCATGCCTATGATATTACTTCAAAACTGACAGGTTTTGATAACTCATTAATTAACCCATTTTAAGTTATTACTATGCAATAAAAAATAATTTCTTTTCTAACCTATCTTAACAGTTGCGTCTTCACGTTTCACAACTTCTTGTTCTTCAATATCACTATCAACAAGTTGATCCTGGTCACTAGGCAACCATTCCTCACCATCACTATCGTTAACAACTTCATCCTCGTCGGATATTTCATGTTCTTTCTTAACAACATGTTTGGTGCTTGGACGATCAAGGGTTTCACTTGTATCTTCTACAGTAGGCTCTGTCTTAATCTGAAAATTGTTAGCCCTTTAACCTTTTATATTTGTATCATTAACTTGCCATGCTTTGATTGTAAAATAGTCCATTAACAGAGTAACAGATTGAAGTATTGAAATAATAACATTAATGAGACAGTAGTAGAATGCCCAGTTAAGTCTACCATATAAGTTCAGACTGGTCTGGCTTTATATCATTATATTGGTGGCATAAGCTCTAAAAAGCTACAAAAATATGTTACTTTAAAAACTTTATTTTTAACTTATGATCTAAATTATCCTGATGAAGGTTTGAGAGAACCAAATTCGGTAGACAATAAATAATCTTAACCAGCTCTGGTCTTGACATGTTGTACTTCTCCATGTTCCTCTTCTGTTGATTATGATCTACATGTTAAGTGGTTCCTTTTTAGCAGAAATTTTAAAGGAGACAATGCAATTCCTTATAGTTTAGTATTCAAATTGCTTTAATTCAATGGCTGAGGATTTTGTGAAGACAATATCAGTTTCAGTGATACAATTCAAATGACAATTACTCAGGAAATATAAATTGATAATATGCACTAAATGTATTGTTTTCTTGAAAATAGATATATAAAAAAATCCATACATGTATATCAGTGCCTTCTGTTAAATTTTGTTGATTTACAACAGAACCAAATGGAGTCATCTCCCCTGTTTTGATCAGTTTGTCTTTAGTCTCATTCCCTGATGATCCTAAAACTGACTTCAAAGCTGAAAACAAGTTTGTAACATGTATGAAAGGTAGATATTCCACAATTCGATAGGAAAGACTTACTTTATAAATTAATCATTTCAGAGAAACTAGGAAAATCAACAGATTTCATTTACATAAAGTTAAAACAAGGTTTAAATTAATTAAACATAATTAATCTAATTAATAAACGTGAGTGTCAATTGTTTACAATTGTTTAAAAGGTTCAGCTAAAATACTTTTGTTAATACAAACAGAATGAGACAGTTGTGCAAAGAAGGACTAACATGAATATTAAGATATATTTTTGTTTTTGCAAGTTAATTCAGTCTTCATGTCATTTCCTAAGTTTAATTAACTAACATTTACCTATTTCACTTTCATCAAACAAAGGAGCTTTTCCATCTAGTCTGGCCTGAATCTTTTTCTTCTTGTCTTCTAGAGCTTTCATTTCTAACATCTATAGAAGTACAATAATCTCTTGAGATAATGCTAGATAGTAACATTAATATCATGTATAATTTCAAACCACTCATTTATCCTAATTCAATTTTAAGTACTATTTGAGCAGAGCATTGATTGGCCAACCTTAGCTGGGAAGACATAACTAGTATTGCTATACCTAAAACTATATCATTAATTGCTAAGAAATAATCATTTTGAAATTTAAGTTTACTACTATAACCATATACCTGTTAAATCAAATCACAAAATGAGATTCAAACCTTTGTTTCCTTCTGTTTTTTCACAGACACAAGTCTTCTGTTAGCACCACCAGTAGCAAATGACTTGCCCTGACCTAACTGAGCCAGCTGGGTAGCAATTGATGCCAATTCATGCTTCAAAGATCTGTACAGGAGAGAAAACTTAACATTACATCATAATGACATCTTTGTAGAAAAAAAAACATAAGGAATATGAATTAAGTAATAATTGTAACAATTTTTATATTTAACCTACAATACACACTTACCATGGGTAATTATATTGCTATCATTCATCATAATTCAAACTGAACCACTAGCTGAAGTCAAACATGATTTAGACAAATAAAGTCTATACACACCTACCATTTTTCAAAAGACTTCCATAAAAATAAAATATCCCTTTTCTTTTTATCTTATTGAGTTCAAATTTTTGAAAAAACAGGTTTATAGATTAACAGATAATACCTGATATCATCAATAACTTTCTTCATTTCTTTCTTTAAAGATTCTTTTTTCCTTTTTTCTTCTTCCTTTGTAATTGCATCATCCACTTGTTTCATTACACCTGTTAAGAAGTTCAGACATTTAAAAGCTAAATTTATAACAAAAATATATGTAAAATTAAACATAATGTGTTATCCTTCCCATTTATTATCAATTTTGCTAAAAGATTTCAGTAGATCTAGGAAATAAAAAATGGGGTCAACAGATATGATAAGCAGTCTCATGTTGGCATACATTTGACAGATGATCAATCGATAAGCATAGTGTTTAAATCATATGTTAATATCTTTTTTGTTTAAAAATTGAAATTGAACAATGTTCATTATTTTAAGAACATTTAAATTCAAAAGGACTATTAAAATCTTATGACAGTTGGCTGATACTTCTCTTATTTGCACTGTTTTTACTGCGGACAAAAAAGATGCCCTTTCACGAGGTCAACATGAGGCAATGGCTGCGTGCATCTCTGATTGGACAAAGATAATGCAGCACTAATCTCTATTGCATGTCCCCTTATAATATGTCCCAGAGCAGATCTACACTTTAATCATTATGAGAAAAATGTTAACTTTTTAAACAGACTTTGCCAAGAGTAGTAAGATATAAATGTAATTCAGTAAGTTTGTAAAGTTCAGGTATTCTAAATGATATTTAATAGTCCAACATTAGTGCACAAATAATCTTAAGCATTTTTTTTTCTAGACTTGTTATAATGTGTTTTTAATACCTTCTTCAAAATCTTCTTGGTTGAAGACTTCTATATCAAGTCCCTTCAAGTCATCAGTATCATCATTCAGTTGTGTGGATTGGATCAGATCCATGTCAACATGAAACTTTTGCTTCCCTACTGTTTCAGATTCACTTACAGTCGCCACACCACTGGTCTCCCCGCTCTCCTCCATATCTGTCCTCTCTCCTTATCTCCTTCAATAAGTACAAATTTATAATACCTGAAAATATAATAATATAATAAAAAATAGATATTCAAATTACTTTTTTCAATAACACATGTCATAACTGATATATCACATTTTCTGCTATTAATATGACATAAAACCCCTTAAATTAAGGTGTTTTATCAAAACCTAAAAAATAAACAATTATTTCTCAAATTTTACAGTTTTCTCTACTGTCCAAATTGTGCACTAATTTATCACTCTGTGATACATACATGCTTACCTATTAATTGCTAAAAATTACCTTAACAATAACAAATCAAGTGTCTCATAATCTCTTAGCAGGCAACCTCAGAATCTGCATTTTTTTTTTCGGATAAGCAGTGACAATTGTCATGTAAATTGTAAGATACTTACATTTAAATGTCCTTTCTATAGCATTTGTTTAATCAGAAAACCTTATAAGAAATATATAAATATCTTTCCTAAATCAAAACATTATCAATATCAAACATAAGTTGAACAAAACGACCTACCTATGATGGGCTATGCAAGCATCCGGATTCCACTCAAGTTGTCAAAACTCAATTCTAATCTAGTTAACCACTTCGCAAGTGAAAACTTTCATTACATACACAACTGACTGTCAATAAATTCAATATTTATTTATTTAAATCAAGTTATATATTTCATAATGAACAATAATTTGAAAAATTCTTAAAATTGCTGAATAGCAGTCCGATTTCATAACAGTTTTTACTTGATATAAGCAACAACTAGATTTGAGGCACAACACCACTAAAATACCGGGATATATTAGCCTATCCCTAAAAAAATGAAAATGTTGCAGTAAGAAATCTGCATGCCAAATAATGGTTTCTGAAACAGTTTAGGTGGATATTTCAAAATACAAATATATTCTCTTTTTTCCATATCAGACTTAACAAATCTTTTCTGGTCGGAAAGACAACTCCGACGCATAGATATACTGTAACCCTGACACTTGATACTTGTATATATTATTGTTTTAACTTTTTTTTCAATGGTCACCTAGCAGTACAGGAGCAGGACAGAATTAATGTAAAGATTTTTTGTAATTTGGTTAACTTTTAATGTTTTCAAATAACCTAAACTTTTCATAGCCAAAAACTGCTTCAAAACGTTCTTTTTACTATATTACAATAAGGTAGTTAAATTGTATTGACTTGGGAAAGATTTTGGAAAAATTGTTTAAATTTCAACAAAAAATAGATAAAACAAAGAAGATGAAAAAATAAATTATAGATGCTTATTTTCCAGTCATTTTTACCTAAAAATTTAAGTGTCGACTTTATTTACTGTTGTGGGATAAAAAGACTGCTTTGTATACCTCATTCAGGACCTTAAAAAAGTACCCGTTTCCATTTTCATGCATTTTTTTTAAAGTGTAATGTAAAGTCTTTGAACTGAACTTTGTTTAGGTGGTTCAATATTTAAAATATACAGGAAGGTTATTAAGATATTGCAAAAAATGGGATTTACGGTCGGAAATATCTCTCCAACCAGTATTATAAAAAAGGAGGTTTCCGATGCATTTTGTTGTGCACAGGTAACAGGTTACACCTCTACATTATATTTTCCCGGAATGCAAGAGCGTAAAATGATGTATTTCTTTTAAATACTAGAAATCACGGCTTCTGGTGCACTCTCGCGCGCACATTTTAAAATGCACGATTCAACATTTCCCCGATTTTTCAGACATCTTATACATTGATATTATACAATAATTGACTAGTGTGCCATTGAAAATGATGTGATATTCACTGTCAGATGACATATTCGTCAATATGACTTTCTGCCGGTGAATATCACATCATATTTAATGGCACACTAGTCAATAATTGTTTTATTATATGAATAGGCTGTACAAATTGAAAAAAATCACAGAAAGTAAAACCTTATACATGTACAACTTTTGTCTGTTTCGCTGAAGCGCGGGAAAAAGACGCGCGTGGAAGGCGTGCAACAACCACGCGAACGCTGCGCATACAAAAGTAATTCAAGTTTATACTGATCATTGCGGTGAAACTTTAAACTATAATAGTAAAGTAATGATATTTTAAGCGAGAAATATACCATAAAGAACAAACGCAACAATCATATTTTTTAATAATCACGCGTAATTACACGTAACAGTCTACGATATATGCTCATTGAATATGAGTCTCAATCTATTTTTACATTGGGAAAATCCAATTTAGCCAGTGAATATGATACTACACCCAGTGAATATGATTCTATAAAAAGTTATGTTGACTACTGTCTGGACAAATGAGATTGTACCTATATTTAGATCATTTAATAATTGTTTTTATTGTTTTATCATGTATCGGATATGTTTTACCGTGTTATTGCTTAATACTGAAATAAATCTATCTATCTAAGCTGTTAAATAATAACGTTTTATGGACATAGCTTTCACTTCATACTGAATATGAACGACGTTGCCTGAGTAGGACTTTTTTACAGACAGAAAAAGGGGCCCATCCAATAAATACTGATAAATTGGAGAGAGGGGGTATTTTTCTTAAAAAGGGGGAAGAAAATAAACTTTATGTAAACAGAATTAAAGCGGAAAAAACTGCATGATCTTAATAAATATTCTAGAGGTGAAGAGACCTATAAATGTAATAGCTTCTGAAGAGGGAACAGTCACTGGTATAAACATGGTTTTTGCTTCCTTATTTTATGTAAATAGAATAGTTTAAAAATAATAGCAAATCTTTCTTGCGTTTGATGTATATAGTAGAATTATCGGAATAGAGTCATTATCGGTCCATGATTCACTTAAAAGGATCTCCGGCTTTTGATTCCGTCATTTTACATACATGTTGTTTTTTAGGCTAGCCGTTCGGACATAATCACACATTAATCACTTATATTTTTTATTCCCTGCAATTTCTCTTTTCTTTCAAGTAAAACATTATCTGCCGTTTTTGTGAAGATAACTGAAAATATAAGAGTGAATACATGTATGTAAATGGAGGGCAGCGTTCAAAGACAGTGCAAGAAGCACTCAAACCTAAACAAACTTTAAAGGCATTTGATTAACTGCCAGCCAATAAACGAAGTATCCTTTTTTTGCATTTACTGTATGGACAGGTAAAAATGAGAAAAAAACATTATTAATAAAGAAAGCCCAGCACGGGAAAATTGAAAATGTTTCAGGTTTGATTGAACCTGTTCATGGAAGGCAGTGGTAATTGCAAGCTACCGCCAACGCCCCCGAACACCGGCTTAAGCAGGATTTTACATTTAACATGAACTGGTAAAATTTTGAATTTTGAAACATCTGCTAATGTATTCATATGGTGGTAATGTGACAACACGTTAATGCCATTCCATGAAAAGTGGCATATGGTCCCCAAGTAAAAAAAATCTTGTAATAAGTGAGAAAAGAATGGGTGAAACTAAATGATATAGAAATTTTTAAAAGGGATCAGAGACTATGAAATGGAGAAAATAAGAATCCCTAAAGATATAAGAGGTTATGAAGGCTGCATATCACATATAAGCTGTCAAAAGACAACATTAAAAAGCAGGCAGCATATTTTAGGGTCTTTAAACAGTATTCAAATGAGGGATACTGGAACCAACTGACAAAAAACCACCAAATTGGAAAGAACTAAAAAGTACCAAAAAACATGCACTCACAACAATTAATAATGTCGTGCTGAATGATCTTCAAGGATTGAAAATATAACAGCTTTAATTAAAAGTACAGGGAGACTTTCTACAGCCGCCACATGGCACAAATGTGACATTGATGTGACAATAAAATAAGAAAAATAGAATCTCTAAAGAAAGCCAAACATGGCAAAATTGAAAATGTTGCTAGCTCGGTTTGATTGAGTCTGTGTATGGATGGTAGTGGTAATTGCATGCTACCGTCCTCGCCACCTAGCACCTGCTTAATAATAATTCAACAATTATGATAAACTGGTATAATTTACAGTTATGCAAGTTCATACATACACATCAAGTCTAAGACTTGATAACAAACCGTACGTTTTATGTAATGATTACATAAATGATATGTCTTTTATTTAGATTGCTTCAGAAAAAGAACGACCTCTTGTAAGATTAGGAGCTTGATATTTCATAAAATATTAACAGGTAAGGTATTTTATTGTGAACTAAGTTGTAACAAAGTGATGATATTTTAAAGTAACTACTAACTTTGATATATTATTTTGTTTTCCCTATTACCTTTATTTTTGTTAATCTCACAAATAAATTGAGAAATATCTTTGAAATATCTAAAAGTAATCAAATTTGAATTTGACATAATGCAACCATCCATAATTGTTAACATTGGAAGGAAAAAAACATAAACATTTAAATGAAATTTAGGTACAATGTTCATCTTTTTTATTCAGTCAATGGACCTCAAAGATCCACACACACGAAAAACAACTAGCAATGTGTCCATAGGACACGGGTGGCCCCAACTCTTTACTGTTTTGTCAAACTTATGACTCTACGTCATATATTTTTGGGCTACACGTGACACAAGTTAATAACTAAAAAAAATTACTTGGTCAAGTGCAAGAACTTTACAAATACTGAATAAATCCACAAGCAAACCCCAAGGTGCATAAGTACACATGCTGACAAACATTCTTGTAAGTTTTCAGGTCTAAACAATAACTCTAACAAAACTGAAAAAATCCACATGCAAAACCCCAGGTGCACAGCTTCACAGTGATGAAAAAACATGAACTTTTAAATGAAATTTAGGTACAATATCTTTTTTTCTAGTCAATAGACCTCAAAGATACATTTACACACACGAAAACAACTAGCAATGTGTCAATAGGACACGGGTGTCCCCAACACTCTACTGTTTAGTCAAACTTATGACTCTACGTCATATTTTTTTGGGGCTACACGTGACACAAGTTGATAACTAAAAAAAATTTACCTGGTCAAGGGCAAGAACTTTACAAATACTGAATCAATCCACAAGCAAACCCCGAGGTGCATAAGTACACAAGCTGACAAACATTCTTGTAAACTTTCAGGCATAAATATTTTTTGAAAGTTGAAAATTGCAAATTTATATGAAGTCAAAATCAATAACTCTAACAAAACTGAAAAAATCCACATGCAAAACCCCAGGTGCACAGCTTCACAGTGATGTTGATCATTATTCCTGTTAAGTTGGTTGATTCTAATAGTCTAATGTGCAGATAGCGTTGTTTTAATCTCTTAAATAATTATAAAAAAAAATAATACAGTGGATAGATTGTATGTCTTACTAAAACACACAAAAAAGACCAGTAAAATATTTTACCGAAAATCTTCATGAGCTGCCGACCTCATTTATATTGTATAACTTCGAATTTTCCCCAGACATTTATTTTGCTATGTTTAGTACTTTAGAACCCTTTTCCGGTAAGGAACGGGTGTATTACACCGTAGATAACCTGTCATGGCGGCTGATAGACGGCTGTTTTAGTAACATATTTAATAGTTTGGTACGGTTGTTTTCTTCTTTAGTTACATTATAAATGCGTAATAATGACATTCTCCTTTAGTTTAGGCTTTATTTATATGTGATCGACGAAGCAGACTTTGATACAGTAAAAGAAAGCCGCGGAAACCTAATTCTGAAACAGGGTGGCTGTACGATAAAACCTGTTGAAACGTAACGGATCCGGACAGTCGAACTGAAATCAAAAGTTCCATTATAATGGTTATTCCGTTTTCTACATCAGAGATAACTTTTAAAATGCAGTAAATCAAATTTATTTTGACAAAATATACTTTTGACATTAAAAAAGTAGATTTTTAGGTTGGTTTATGTTTTGAATTGTTTAGGGTCAAAATCTCGCGTTTTACAGAGGAGCTACAGCCCATACATAAAAGTACACTATCTAGGCAGGCAGGTCAATTAGCTTGACAACAAATCAATGTTGACCTAGAAAATTGACAGAAAGTCTTTTGATTGTTATTTCGCATTTTTGATATCTGAAAAACTTCATGTGTTTTAGTGGTCTAACACCTTGTATTAATGTAGTGGTCTAACACCTTTTAAGAAAGGCGGGAGTTGCACGTGCAGCAGAAGGGAGTTGCACTTGCAGCAGAAGAGCGACAAGATGTGCAGGTGCTGGTCTTAAAGTTTAGGCTGTAGTGTAAAAGAATCTTGTTTTTGCAACCTTGTGCATATGTGCAAGGGCTTTAATTAATCCAGGAGAGTGCCCGTTTAATTACCAGAGTTGTAAAGCACTGGCAAAAAACTGTTTACCTGGTATTTTTTTCATATACAGTACAGTATGTAAAAATTGTTTGAAAACCAGTATGTTGTAACTGATGTCCCAATAGTGTTTAAATATTAAATTTTTGTGTTAGTTTTTACACGGGCATCTCACTTTGGGAGCGGCATATGACCCCCAAAGTGTCTGTGGCACAGACACTTCGGGTGTGGAGCTTCTTAAAATTAAAAAAAAATCTATATTTGTCAAAACCAACGCATAACTTATCTACAATGGCACAAAGGTGACATTTGTTTTTATTTATCATGTGGGCAGGAAAACTGTTGTGCTCACAAGTTGCTAAGTCGTGAGCATAAGATATTTCTGTGGTGCAAACTAGTCCTATAAATATGACGTCGATTTGAGATATTTTTGTTTCTGGTCAAAGCAACGTCATATCAAAATTGCTCAAAAACCCATAGCACGTTCCGCTAGAAAATTGGAGGGAGCGAAAAAACGATGGTGTGTATTTACATTGATTTTGACCTATTTGTGAAAAAAGCGAAAAAATAAATACCTTTTGACAAAATAATTAAACATCAGAAAAATCATAATTAAATCCCGTCATTACGTAATTAAATTCCTTATACAGCCGATAAACAAATGGCCGCCATACAGTGCGCAAAATCTGATTGGCTAATTCAATTGCAAGCGTTTAACTAAGTCATAAGATTCTAATGGAATATTTTTTTAACAAAATAATTGCCCATGCACATAAGCGTGTTCGAATATATTTTTCCTTTAAAAAATTTGGAATCGATCTGTGAAGCGCCTTAACCAGTATAGCCGATAGACAAAAATAGATTGATATGTTTATATTTTATTTTAAATTGATAAGTTCATTGTTTTGAGAGTTTTTGTTTATGATTGAGCATGAAATTGAAAGAAAAGAAGATAAGCTTTAGAATAAAGCTTGAAAGGCAAGACCTTAGATGTTTTTTTAATTTTTTATGATGCTATGCGTTTATTAGATGTCAGGCTCGATCAACATAGACTATAACAAGCCTGTAACGTCTGATATTTTGGACTATGGTGCGAACAAGACATTATGTTGTTTGCAGGAGATAAGTTGTGGCACAAGTTATTATGTTGTGCGAAAGATAATAAAGTGGTGCCCATGAGATAATTAATCAGATTACATTTATATATAGATCTATATGAATTTTTTAAGCCTAGAAAATTTCTGTTTAAATTAATTATCTTGTACGTCAGTCAGACATAGTATCTAGTGGGAACCACTTAATAATCTGGTGTGCACTACATAGTATCTCCTGTGCACTACTTAGTAATTTGTGTGCACGACTGAATAACTTGTGCGCAAACATAGTATCTTGTGCGCATCAATTATCTCAGGTGCGCATTACTTAGTAACTCATGTACACAACATAGTATCTCGTGCATCCCACTTTATTATCTTCTGCGCACAGCTTAGTTACTTGTGTGCACCACTTAGTATCTCGTGCGAAGGGCATAGTATCTCGAGCACACTAGATAAATAAAAAAAACAACATGTCACCTCTGTGCCACCACACTCATCTGATATATATATATATATGCAATGTAAACTGGAAAAGGCATTGCTTCATTCTTTATTCCCGCTCTATGTATATATCAATAAAATTTAAAGCAACTCTCTCACACAGAACAGGTCTGATTATAAGCTATCAACATATTTGCTTAGATTATTTTAAAATTTGCAGTTTCCATGAGATAACATTGACCTAACAGTTGTTACGTTTCACTTGACAGCGATATAAACACCCCTATTATCAACCTGTTAACAAGTATCGAGAGGGACAGCTTGATGCAGGTAGAACTTGTTATTTGAACACTAACCCCAGTATAACGCTCATAGACCTAAAAATGGCTCCTGAAAAAAATGTTGTATTTTTGCCGATTATATTTTTTTCCCTGTAGATTTATAACGCGCCATATCGGCTACAAGGCTTGTGACAGTCAAGTACAATAAACAAATGTAATAAGGACACTAACTAGCACCCCCTCCGTGGTCGAGGGGTTAGAGTCGATGACTTCTAATCCAGTAACCTCTCTGGCGTGGGTTCGATCCCCGGGAGATGCTTTGGTAGTTTAGCACGGAGGAAGGTAGTCTAGTACTGGTGTAACTCTCCAGGAACGATGGTTAGGAAACAACCCGCCTATATGACTGAAATACTGTTAGGAAAAGGCGTAAAATGAAACAAACAAACAAACTAGCACAGAAAGTGTGAAAGCATGCACAGGTTAGCGTTAATCCGCTCTTTTGTCGTTTGACCTGTGGATCAATCAAGCACCAAATTGTAACAAAAGTCTCAAATTCATGTACCGTAAATGTGAAATGCAAACATTTCTGAATTAATGAAGTTCAATACTTTATCCCAAGATCAATTTAAATTTTATCGAACAGCAAAAAAATGTTGAGGCAGGCGATGTATGGTGTTTGATTAACTAAGGGACACAACTTAAGCTGGAAGCTTTTACTATAACCATACTATGTATCTGTAATTTTGTGATTTATGTTTTTCTTTCAAAAGTTTGTTTCTTTGAAGTATAATAAGTATTATTTGACAATATAATACATGTTTGCAATATTAAATTGTTTTAGAATAAAATAATGTTAATATTCATTGAATGGTAAGTAAAAATCATAAGCATTATGTATGGGCGGTGAGTGGGGTAATGTGGTTATTTCGTGATGAGCGTTATATATCAGGACCTTGTTATAATGCAGTATTGAGATCTTGGACCCCAACATGAGCTTTATAACAGGCTGCAATGTAAATTGTGCAGCAATCTATTGAAAAATTAAAAACATACCAAGCACACAAATGTTCTTCCCAAAACCAACTGATCTACTTGCAACCAGTTTACGAGTGTTTAGGATTTAAGTCAATATTTATAACAACAAAAAGCATTGCAATGGTTTAAATTTGCAGCAGGATAAACATTGCAAATAATTTACTAAGGTGGTTAACCGTTTTTCGTTGGACATGTATTAATCAACTAGTTCCATATAATTGTACATGTCTGTGATGAAATTGTATCTTTTGATGACATTTTATTTCAAAAACGCCCAATGTACAATGTGTGGGGTAGTAGCTTTAATATATACAGTTTTGAAAAAAGCAACATCTTATTAACATATTTTATAATACACTATTATCAGATTATATACTGAAAAGTTTTTCAGCTTTAAGAGGCATCTTCTGACAGAACCATATATAAAATACTTGTTTATTGTTTATTTTTGTCTTCTGCAGATTGCTATTGATCCACTGTAATAATACCATGAGTGAATCCGAGACCAAGTCTGATCTTGGTACCAGGAGTGTATCCGAGGCCAAGTCTGACATTGATACCATGAGTATTTCCTTGGAGACCAAGTCTGACCTTGGTACCATGAGTGTACTTGACATTGGTACCATGAGTATTTCCTCCGAGACCAAGTCTAACCTTGATACCAAGAGTGAATCAGAGTCCAAGTCTGACATTACATCTGAAAAGCATTTAGATAACTACATTCATGAAGCTTCAGTGCATGAGAAGTCTGAAAGTGAGGCTGTGGTCGAGAAATCAGAAGTAGTACATGATTCTGATCAAAGTGAAACGATAATGGTACAAGAAAAGAAAGAGGAAGTTAAAGCTGAGGTAATGGAAAAGAAAGAGAAGGTTACCAAATCAAGTGAAGACAGGACAGAAGATGATGGAAGTCTCCGATTCAGAGCTCATTTCTGTGAACTTTGCCAACAGAGTTTCACCAGAGCTCAGTCTTTAAGTAGACATAATGCTCGGAAACACACAACTTTGTAAGTGTTGATACTATTGTCTGGTCTTTGAATAATAAGTTTAAGCTCAAATGTGAAATGTTTAGAAACAAATTTGCAAAATGATGCCTGTTTTTCATTACTAAGAATTGTCTTCATGTTGGCAGTTTTATTTCTGGTGTTAGAATTGACCAATTCCACGATTGTTTTTCTTGCTTAGAATATAATTATGGCCATGTTTTTCCAAGGATTTTAACAAGGCTTTCCATTGAAAAAAAATCTGTTAAGCAGATTGGAGAATCATAGCAGAGAGACAGTTGCATTTCTTTCAACATTTTTTCACAGAACTTGTGAATAGGTGCCAAGTAGCACATATTTTCAAGTTTTTATAATAAAATCTTCTTTTTTTTCCAAATGCTTTGGGGTTTTTTTTGGTGTGTGTGTTTACACATGATAGTGCATCAAATACTCTCCTCTGTGCACCTGCTAAACTGTATTTGAGAAAAACATTAAGTTTGTGTTTAAAGCATTTTAGAAAAAGAAATTTAACAACAACATTGTTTCCTGACTGATATTTCCCTTCATTGATAGAATATGATCACTATGATTAGCTATCTTGTACAATATAGGTATTGTTTTTCTTCTTCAGGAAGGAGCCTATCAACAGGGTAGATGTTGGATCAAAGAGAACAAAGGCCAACATGGAAGGCGTTAGAGCAAAGAGAAGTAATACTAGCATGGTAGATGGTGGAGCTAAAAGAACTAAGACACGAAAAATGACAAAATATATTGAAAGCTTTAGTGAAGAAAGTGATTCTGTTGAAAATAATGACACCATAGAAAAACCTACAGAGAAAAAAACAAGATCTTTAAAGATAAGATTATCGAGCAAGTTTCAAACAGCTAAGAATTTCAAAGATAACTCTGGAGAGAGCAGTGTTGGAAAACTTGATGAAAATTCTGGAGGAACTCAACCAATGCTTGATGAAGAAATTGCTGCCATTCATGCCTTGAAGGATTCGGTAATTTTTCTGTTTAATTATAATCATCAACTTTATTTTTACTGATAACTAGTAACATATTTAGATCATGACAACTACAATAATTACGGTTTTTGTGAAGCAAAAATATCCAAAGAAATGGTGCTTGCCATCTGTATAGTGCAAAATATTAAGTTTGGGATATTAGGCCTAAATAAGAAATTCTTTGTTACCCAGCCACTTTTTACCTACAAAAATCACTGTTATCCCAAAACTTTTAGAGTCAATGACTTCTAATCCAGTTACCTCTCTGGCGTGGGTTCGATCCCCAGGAGATGCTTTGGTAGTTTAGCACGGAGGAAGGTAGTCTAGTACTGGTGTAACTCTCCAGGAACGATAGTTAGGAAACTACCTGCCTATATGACTGAAATACTGTTGGGAGAAAAGGTGTAAAAAGAAACAAACAAAACTTTTAATACCAATATAATTTTTTTTTTCCTTAAGTTTGTCATTGATATTCACATTTTTATGTTTTTGCATTGTTAATATACAAAGTGGGATATATTAAGAGTTATACATTCTAACATTTTCATATGACCTAAGTTGAACCATGCCTGACTATTTTATTTGAATTTAACCCTTAGGCCAAAATAAAAAATATGTCTGGTTCAGGGAACCCGACCGACCCTATTTTTTTACCGCCGACCCTAAACTTTTTTTTTGATTTTCGGTACGAAAATTTTTGGGTACGAAAATTACAAATGTGAAAATTTTGTTTTACGATGCCTGTTGAAATGGCCGATGAGTAACAATCTTAAAATAATCAAAAAATGTTTAATCTTATATGATCAAAATCAACAACAAGTAGAATTGTGAATGTTTCTGCAGGAAACAGACAAATTTTCAATTGTCACATATTTTCGCGATGCCGCTTTTTATAATTAAAAAAATCGTAGCCAAAAGGAAGATAATTATGTTTTGTTAAAATGTGTGTAATAACACTTAAAATATAGTTTAGGAATTAAATTAACTATTAAGGCCGCTATTCCATTTATACGTGATAAGTGGTCCGCGTCCGTCATCCGCGTCCGCTACTGATTTGCTAATCAAAGAATATGTTGAATCTATTCCTTTTGTCCGTTTACCATCCGCTTCCGCGACGGCATCCATGACGTTTCGCAGGATGAGCGATTTTTTACGGACGCGGACAGTCACTGACATGTCTCATCCCTACAAAATGCCTCGAACGAAATTAAATACTTTATCAATTTCGAAAGAAAATACTAAAGAGCTCACCAAAATAGTGTAGGAGAACCTATAAGTTTATGATGCAGCAATGACAGATTAAAAATAACAACATCTGGTCTTCGGTTGCTCAAGAGATGTTATTTGAAAACCTAACTGATATTCAATGTTTGTTACATAATTCTTTGATGTTACAACTGTTTTTGGTATTAGAACGAAATTATATCATATTCTACAAATAATTATCCTCTGTTTGCTATACTTCAATTAAAAGTATATAGAAAATAACGTACCTATGGAATAATACCCACGGACATGCCCGGACACGGACCACTGACGCGGGTCACGGATCACGTACTAATGGAATAGCGGCCTAATAGTTGAGATGGAGCCATTACCAGTATGTGTTTGTAACATACAATGAATATTTTCTTTTTTAAGGGAGGGGGTGTAATGTCTGATGATGTATGTTTTTTAAATTACATTTCAAATCTTGTCAATCACTTTTATGGTACAGTGTTTTCCATTTGGGACATATAACCATTTTCCTGAATAAGCTTTTTCTCTGTTCAAACTCTGACTTCCCAACCCCTTACTCTGATATATACATCATATTTGTCAACTGCATAATATAAGTGCAGTAAAGATGGCTTAACATATTCATTGTGATCTGGAACTCCTACTTTTTTGTGCTTGGGAGTCTCAAGACTCCTTCTCTGTGAGAACCCTGCAACTGTTGGTACCAGTTGCACATATATATGTATAGACTTGCGCCCCCTGAAGACCATTTGAATATGTTTAACATTAAAATTATATATACAGTAGCTGTGTTATTTTGGTCCCCGGAATAGTGCATGTCAGATGCTCTAAGCTTATAATACAGCATTATTATTAACTTGTTACAGAGGTGACCCTTGATCTTTTAATTGTCAGACCTGTCAGATGCAGGTTAGCATAGTACAGCGGGTGATTCAAAGGGAAAGGGTACATAATAAGCAGAATACAGGCCCGTCGTCACGATTTTGAGAATGGTGCGGCTAATTTGGTTGGATTTATCCCGAATCTAGGGGGGTACGGGGGCATGCTCCCCGGAAAATTTTTTATTCTAGGATGCTCTCAGGGCCGTTTTCCCGTATATTTGGCACAGTTTACAGTCTGCCGCTAGTACATGTTATAGTAATATGTCAACGATTTTATCACAGATTTAAGTGCGTCGTAAGTTTTAAGGGTGAAATTTAAGGTTCGCATAACGTAGATATGTCCTAAAAACACAATTCTTTTTCACCCCTGTAAAGAATGGGATACATGGTTACAAGGGTTACATTGGTTACTTATGGTTTATGACCATCAGATATGAAAAAGTTGTTTTTTCTACCAGTAATTAAATAAAGAGTTTGCCTTAGGCTTTAATTCTTAAATTAAATTAAAACTTAAATTTTATTAGTACAATATTAAAGTTGTTTACCAATTAACAAGAGTTTGCCTTAGGCTTTAATTCTAAAGTTAAAAGGTCCCTTTGAAGGTGATGTACTGTTACTGATAAGCCCCTTTGAATAAACAGATAAGCCCCTTTGAATAAACAAGACCATTTCTCAAGCTAGATTACAGATTTATATATTTTATTCTAGACAAATTTTCACTCTGAGATTGTATAAACCAATAAATTTGTGAAATAAATCAATAAAACAAAATTATTCAACAGAAATTTGTAACTTTAGAAAAATTAAATGTAAAAATTAATCTGTATCCCATTGTAACCTTGTGTAACCCTTGTATCCTGTATCCCATTTGATGAGGGGGTGAAAATGAATTGTGTTTTTGTGCCATATATGCATAACGGACGGATAGGTGTACATAAAAGATGAATACATGTAATTGATATTTGGCAAATGAAAAATAAACAATAACTGATGTTGTTTTAATTCTTTAGATGCATTTTTATCTGATAATTACAAATAAACAATTACAAGAAATATTACAGTACCACTTTTTGTTCAGCAGTAACTTGTTCACAAAAATCTTACACAACAGAGTCTCATTTTATGTAAATTTTCCAAAAAAGCATCGCCGTCGTTCTCTGGTGGTAATGAGCTCATCGGCAATTACACGTAAGTTGAGTAACAGCTAGGTCCTTTAGTACAGTGTAATTATCAATCACACTTTTGAGACTAGCTGCACGGACTGCCCAGCGAGTAGGGCACAGAGTTCTAAAACCCGGTGTATCAGGTGCTAGATCTCAAGAGACTGTCACGTTTAGAAGAATACTTAAGTAAATTAGAAATCAGCGATGCGTGTTTTTTTTTCACTCATTTTTGGACAAAATATTGGTCCGGCCAAGGCCGGACCGGCCGGACCATCGAAAGCAAATTAGTATGAATACAGGTGCTACATGGTTAAATGACTACATACAAGAAATAAACAACACAATATCACATGCTGATAGTTTATTACAAAATGGTGTTTGCATTGATTGATTACAATCTTTGTTTAAGTATGTTAAGCAAGCAACACATCTATATATGGAAAATAAGACATTCTCCCAACCAAAAAAAAAAAAAAAAAAATCCCTACCCTCCTGATTTTTTGGACCAATGTTTCCTGAACCAGACATATATTTTTTTTTGGCCTTAACTTGCAGCATTTCTGTAATGGACTTGCCCTGCTTTGAATTTGGAACAGTCCATGTGAAATTGAAGGGATTTATAGTTCAACTTCATAGTTTTACAAATAAATTGACTACAAGCAAATATGCAAATGATCGTAGATAAATGGAAATCCTACAAAAAAAATAAAGTAAACAAATTAAATAGAGATGGAAAACTGAAGTTCATAACGTATAATTATATCATATTGTAATATGATATTTAAATACATGTAATTGAAGCTGGAATTTAAGATATTTTAATGATCCAAAATATCATATTTGATATAAATGTGATTTTTATACAATAATGATTATTAAGATTTTTACTGTGTTAATTTCAATAATTTTGTCATGTTGTATCTCAAATAATAGCTCCTGGTGGTATTTGACAATGACTTTTTTTTCAATAATATAAACATGGGTATAGAAAGTAACCAGATTAAAGATCCTGTAATTTTTTATGGTTTTAAATCATAAATATGATAATCAAATTAAGATTTATCAATTTGTAAGTTCCAAAAAGCATTATTTATAAAGATAGAACCGAATTTAACATTTTATGTAAATAAAGGGCGGTAATAAAAAATTTATTTTCTATAAAGTCAAATTTTTCACATATATTATAATGATTATATATAATATGTACAAATATTTGCAGTACATATTTTACATATTCTTTCATGTTTAAAAAGTGTTTTATAAGCATAATTATATTCAAATATATAATTTCAGTTAAGTGTGGTATACAACCTCAATTACAACATACACTATCTTTAACAATTATTATCTAGGCTGCTATTTCCCCCCTGATAAAATCATTTTCAGATTATACAAAAAAGCTAGTTGTATTTTATGATTGTGTCAGAAATAAATGTTGAGATATAAACTCACTTGATGTGCAGTTTTTGCCTGGAGTCAATTACAAGTATAAGATATGACAGGTTTAAGAAATGGATTATTCTTGACTTTCTTATCTAATGTTACTCTTGACAGGGTCTGTCTAGCCTAGGGCATAAACTGTCTACAAAAAACTCATTAATTTAGTCATTGTATTATTTGTGACATACTGTTACTTAATGTAACTTAGGTTTTATTTGTTGAATCATTTTCAGTGTGATAAGTTGGAGAGTGCAGGTCAACAAGTGCTGGTAATTACAAGCAATGGAGATCATGCACAATGGTTTGGTTCTAAATATGGTGTACAATTTGCTCAGGATAATTCAGAGGTGATTGGTAGCTTCTTTAATTACTGTAAAGGTAAGTAAATTTTCTTTTATCACTTGTTAAGATACAAGGTGTTATAAGTGAAATAAAATTTTCCCTTTTAAGTATATTTTAAGACATTTTTTGTCATGATTTGTGATTGTTTTCAGTGCATGTAAATGTATTAAGTGATTTTTTTCTGGCCTTAGCCTCTTGATTTTGGGAAAAATCATTGCTAAAATTGCTAATTTGGGAAGTAAAAAAGCTGGTTTATGTTCATATTTTTGGAAAAACTGTATGATTTAAAAGAAAATTTCAATTGGGAAGAGGCCTTTTATCGGAGTCTGTCATATAAGCAGGAAAATCACTGGTATTATTGAATTTAACCATGGGAGACAATTAGATGAAACATTGCCCTCTACTAAGGTATAAATTTAAGGAAGGCAACATGAAAATTATCAACTTTGTAAATAATTGTTATGAAGCAATATTTTCACATCATGATTTTATATCACATAATATGACATTAGTTTTTTAAATTTTGTATATTATATTTTTCATTTGCAATTTTATTTTCATATATTGCTTAACTGATTTTAATTGTGTTTTTGTAATGCTGAGATTTTCAAACTTTGGAAATAATGTATTTATTATTTTATTGATAAAGATAATTTCCTCCAATTGACCCCTTTAATTTTAGAAATCTTAGAAATAAATCATCTATTTTGAAAATAACTCTTTTGACTTTTAAGCTGACACTTGTAGTAAAAATTGTAAATCTGCTTCTTCCTGTCTCTATTGTTGATCTTTAATGATCATTTCCTTATCAACCTTAGGCAAGAACAAAAGAATAATTATATAATGTCAAAATCACACTATCATTTCCTGCTTGTCTTTAATTGTAATTATCATAATATTTCTTTTGTTAAATCTAAGGTGATAAAATCTCACCCCTTCAGGACCAAATATTGGCAGGACCGACCTGTATATAAGAAAAGACACAAGTTGAGCAGTCATATTCCAACTTTGTCTGCTTAAATGAAAGTTATTGTTAAATTGTAATTTTATTATTTTCAATTTACTATTGTCTTAATTATACAGGTATGTGTCTTTTTACATTAACAACTATTTTTGTATTGAGTTTTTATTGGTTTTTCAGCATAATGTTTGTAAATACTGCTTTTTATGCCCCCCTTCGAAGAAGAGGGGGTATATTGTTTTGCTAATGTCGGTCTGTCGGTCGGTCTGTCGGTCTGTCCGTCGGTAGACCACATGGTTTCCGCTGATTATCTTGAAAAGTATTTATCACAAAGTCTTCATATTTTACATAGTGATTGGTCATAACTAGTAGATGACCCCTATTGATTTTGGGGTCACTAGGTCAAAGGTCAAGGTCACAGGGACCTTAAATGTCAAAATGATTTCCGCTGATTATCTTAAAAAGTATGTATCACAAAGTCTTCATATTTCACATAGTAATTGGTCATCACTAGTAGATGACCCCTATTGATTTTGGGGTCACTAGGTCAAAGGTCAAGGTCACAGGGACCTTAAATGTCAAAATGGTTTCTGCTGATTATCTTGAAAAGTATGTATCACAAAGTCTTCATATTTCACATAGTGATTGGTCATAACTTGTAGATGACCCTTATTGATTTTTGGGTCACAAGGTCAAAGGTCAAGGTCACAGAGACCTAAAATGTCAAAATGGTTTCTGCTGATTATCTTGAAAAGCATGTATCACAAAGTCTTCATATTTCACACAGTGATTGGCCATAACTAGTAGATGACCCCTATTGATTTTGGGGTCACTAGGTCAAAGGTCAAGGTCACAGGGACCTTAAATGTCAAAATGTTTTCTGCTGATTATCTTGAAAAGTATGTATCACAAAGTCTTCATATTTCACACAGTGATTGGTCATCACTAGTAGATGACCCCTATTGATTTTGGGGTCACTAGGTCAAAGGTCAAGGTCACAGGGACCTTAAATGTCAAAATGTTTTCCGCTGATTATCTTGAAAAGTATGTATCACAAAGTCTTCATATTTCACACAGTGATTGGTCATCACTAGTAGATGACCCCTATTGATTTTGGGAACACTAGGTCAAAGGTCAAGGTCATTGGGGCTTTAAATGTCAAAATGGTTTCCGCTGATTATCTTGAAAAGTATGTATCACAAAGTCTTCATATTTCACACAGTGATTGGTCATAACTAGTAGATGACCCCTATTGATTTTGGGGTCACTAGGTCAAAGGTCAAGGTCACAGGGACCTTAAATGTCAAAATGGTTTCCGCTGATTATCTTGAAAAGTATGTAACACAAAGTCTTCATATTTCACACAGTGATTATTCATAACTATTAGATGACCCCTATTGATTTTGGGGTTACTAGGTTAAAGGTCAAGGTCACAGGGGCTTTAAATGTCAAAATGGTTTCCGCTGATTATCTTGAAAGGTATGTATCACAAAGTCTTCATATTTCACATAGTGATTGGTCATCACTAGTAGATGACACCTATCGATTTTGGGGTCACTAGGTCAAAGGTCACAGGGACCTTAAAATTTCAAAATGGTTTCCGCTGATTATCTTGAAAAATATTTCTCACAAAGTATTCACATATTTCACATAGTGATTGGTCATCACTAGTAGATGACACCTATCGATTTTGGGGTCACTAGGTCAAAGGTCACAGGGACCTTAAAATTTCAAAATGGTTTCCGCTGATTATCTTGAAAAATATTTCTCACAAAGTCTTCATATTTCACATAGTGATTGGTCATCACTAGTAGATGACCCCTATTGATTTTTGGGTCACTAGGTCAAAGGTCACAGGGACCTTAAAATGTCAAAATGGTATCCGCTGATTATCTTAAAAAATATTCATCACAAAGTCTTCATATTTCACATAGTGATTGGTCATAACTAGTAGATGACCCCTATTGATTTTGGGGTCACTAGGTCAAAGGTCAAGGTCACAGGGGCCTTAAATGTCAAAAGGGTTTCCGCTGATTATCTTGAAAAGTATTCATCACAAAGTCTTCCTATTTCACCTAGTTTATTGGTCATAAGAAGTAGATGACCTCTATTGATTTAGGGGTCATTAGGTCAAAGGTCAATGTCACATGGCCTTAAATGTCAAAAATGGTTTCTGTTTATTTTTCCATAATTGAACACTTCCATGTACCCATTTTTGGCAAGTTTATGTAATAAAATTATCAATTATGTGAGTCAATGGCTAGAAAGGGGGGGGGGGGTATATGTGTCGTTCGACATTCTTGTTTAATCTGTATTTTTATAACTTTGTAGTTTTTGTATTATATACAATGAAATTATTGTTTCAAGCTAAGATAATTTTGGCATAATTAGGATTTAAAGAGCATATTGATTTTATTCTCCTGTACTTCTGACTTGCAAGTGAATGCTCAAATTAATTGTAATAACACAAAAACATTATTTACTTTCACATTTATAGGGAAACTTGGGCAAATGAATGGCAAAAATATTAAATTGACTTATTTACTCATATCTACTTAGTAAATTTTTTAAAAAAGTCCTACATGATTTTCGTAAATACTTATTTTTTGGGAAATTTCAAGTGAGTTATTTTTTAAATATTAAACAAATCCCCGGTATTTTTAAAAAATCATTATCTCAAAAAAAACTCTAGAAATTACAATAACAGATATTGTGGATATTGTTAGATTGAAATATGTCTGACAGTTGAAATACGTCTTAGTCATTCATTTGACAGGTACTTTAACATTTTTATAGATCTCTATAACAACAATTGTGAAATCTAAATGCTCGAACCTGACTCATGTGGGCCAAGTTGGGAAACCACCATTTTATTTTTTACAAGGAGAAAAGTTTTGTTCATGTGGCTGCTTACTCCCGGTGTATTCATTTCAAGGACATTTATAGAAAATTAAAAGAAATGTTAAAGTCGAAGAAATGAAAATTTCGCTTGTGTCTCCCTTTTAGGTTAATACCCCCAAAACAATTAAAGGGATTAAATATTATGTTTTAAAATTATTTCTATTTCACTTACTGGTATTATGTATGCTTAGAATTTGTTGTATATGTATTAAGGGCATGTTAATACTGTTATATAAATGCTACAATAAGGTATATCATTTGATAAGCACTATCATCAGCTGTGGATATCATTACACCATTATTTAATCCTACACATTTGATTCAATCAATAATATTTAGATAATGGCTCATATAGAAAATTATTTTTTTAACCAAAGCTTCAAAGCTAACATATGTAACATTTCCTTGATGCACTTTGCAAGTTATAGTAGATGACTACCCATTGGTTAAAAATTACTCTGTCCTACAGAACTCTTTATTCCTTTCCTATTTGATAGGATGAGAAGAGGCTCACATTAGAAATTTTATTTATTACAATTCTCTTAAAACCTTCATGATTGCATCTCCTAGCTAGTTTGCATCAGTTTATCATTTCAATTGATGATCATAACTTACATTTTCTTTTATTTATTACAGAAAAAGAGGAGGCATGGAAACAGGAAATGAAAATTACCATAAAGTCGGAAGGTGAAACAATAGATGATGTAGAGATGGGTGGTAATGTAAATAACACTAATGGTTTAACAGGTGATGATGAAAAAGATGATAGTGATGGTGGAGGGGATGATGATGATAATGACAATGATGATTACCATGAGAAAGTAGAGGAATATGATGATGAAGATGATACTGATGAAAGGAATGATGATAATAAACATGGTAAAAATGTATTTAGATCTGCAGTAGCCAGGTCTAAAGCTGTTCGTGAAAGAAGAGACGGTATGTTCAAAGACATAGCTGAAAATTTGAGCAGAAATGAAAACAGTAGAGATGCCTCTATTGTAGTCAGGAGGAAAAATGGAGTGAGGATAGCTCTATACACTGTTGAAGATTTGAATAGGGGACAATATAAATGTGCTTTATGTGGGTATAATTTTCTGTGGAAGTGTCACTTAGAGCTACATCAAATAAAAAATCCGTATTGTAATAAAACTAAACATTTGACAAGATCTGAAAATGATGTATTGAAGGAAAGTATTACGTTTACAGATACTAAGACTGGTGTGGAAGTAACCTCTACTTTTCAGGAACTATTAGATTCACAAACAGTAGATCCAATATCTTGTGCAGTATGCAGTCGGAGCGGCTTTAAAGGTCGCGGAAAGCTCAAAGAGCATCTAATTCTGCATAATGAATCGAGCATATTTGAATGCAATGTATGTTGTGCAGGATTTACTACAGTTGGGTTTTTATCAGCTCATTTAAAGGAGCACTTCAAGAAGTCTTATGAATGCCATAGCTGTCATTGGAGATTTACAACTGGTCAGAAATTAAAACAGCATACAGATGGTGGTTGTAGATCCGTCTCTCTGATAAGTTATGATGATAAGAATGACTTGGATGCAGGATTGGACAATGTAACATTTAGCTGCAACGTCTGCTTGAGTGAGGTGACTGGTTTGAAGAACTTGCGCAAACATTTATCATCTGATCATGACAAACAGTTTGGAATCAATGACTGTGTACTGTGTAATAAGCAGTTTTCGGTGACAAGTCTTTTTAATCGCCACATGCTCTGTCACAAGTCCAGGTACTCCTGTCCAGTAAGTTTTCATTTACAATCTTGTTCATTTATTTATTTTTTATGACCCTGATGGTGTGCATATATAAATCTTCTTGTCCAGTATCTAGTTTTTCCCCAAAAAATTTTGTTTTTACTATTTTTTTGTCCCAAAGGTTTTCTCAACTTGGCCAAATATTTACAATCATGGGAAAAATTCTTTTTTAAAATGATATTTGGGCAAAATGATTTTTTTAAAAAGAAAATTAGAGTGTTTTTAACAAATTTATTTAAAATCTTTTCTGGAAAAATTTAAATGTTTAAAATTTTTTTGTATATGTTAAACCCTTTACAGTTTTTGAATATTTAAAAATGTTATACTAAAACTTTGTATAGTCATTATTTTTTAAGGGTCATATCAATCTTTCTCTTTTTACAGTATTGTCCGAAAACATTCAGCGAAAAGTCAAACTTGTTTTTCTACCATCTGAAATCACATCGGAATTTATCAGAATTTCCGTATGTCTGCGACATATGTGGTAAGAAGTTCAAGAGCAAGCGCCATTTTGATCCACACCGACGTATTCACACTGGCGAGAGGCCGTATAAGTGTAAAGTGGAGGTAGGTACATTGTATATTTAGCAATTAATTTAATAGAGGATATTGAATGAGTGTAGGTTCATTACTTAATTTATTGAACAAATTTAATGAAATTATATTATTAAGCACGTCTTTACACTATATTTGTATTACACAAATGATATCCCTTAAATAAAAATGCACTAGCTATACTATCCAATGAAAAGTGGTGCTATACTACTCACCTGCTTCACACTTTAACATAAAGTTATGCATGCAATTTAATGTAGTACTTCATAACTTTTTGGGAAGTGTATGACATGTTTGTAACTGAATTTCATTTACAAAGACCTTTAACAGAGGCATTTATGTTAATGGTATAAAAGCTCTTTATAATTGTTAAATTATGCATCATGGAATGGATTTGGACTGAGTTGTAGCTCTTAAATTAGAGGAAAGTTTTGGTTTAAAAGTAAGTGCTTGATTGCTTCAGGGACTCCTTTGTATCTTTTTCACAAAATATTTTCTATTCTGCAGATAATAAATGTTTTATTTAACCTCTTGAATGTAGCATATTCTGGTCTCCTGATGTTTAAACTTTTCTTTTTCTTTATTAGGGTTGTGGGAAAGCATTCCGCAGTGCAGATGGTTTAGATCAACATAAATGGTGCCACGTAAACCAGCATTTCATCTGTGATTTTTGTGGAAGAAAATTCAAGAAGCCATCTTTATTGAACAATCATCGACAAACGCACACTCAGGAATGGCGTTATCCATGCATTTATTGTGAACTTAAGTTCAGAAAATTACGACCTTATAAAAGACATTTGGCACAAGTTCACCCAACTAAAGTTGAAGATGTGAAGGAGAGGTTTAAGATTATACTTCATCCGTGTACTGACTGTCCGAAAGTGTTCTTTGACAAGGAAGATCATACTGCCCATATAAATAGACATAGAGGTATCAGACCTTTCTCCTGTAAATTCTGTAACAAAACATTCGGTGATAAAAGTAACTTGATGTGTCATGTGAAATTACACGAAGGTGGCAAAAAGTTAAAATGTAAATTTTGCCCCAGAAGATTCAACATAGAGAAGTTTCTCGAAGACCATGTTGCTAGGCTACATAATCCAAAATCGAAAGTTTCTGATGAAAATCGTGAAAGTGATGATAACCATGACGACCAAGATGATGATGACGGTCAGCGACTGACTATTGCTCTGTCTGATAATGAAGAGGACATTGACCAGTTAAGAGAATCAACGCTTCAGATCATAGACGAAACCATCCGAAGAAATGTATCTTTTGATTAATTTTTTTACCTTTTGACTCATTCTTTCTCTTTAGGTACACTGTAATTACAGGCCCTGAATGCTATGTCAGCCTTAAAGTGTATAGAGCTATATCTTTTTGGCAAAATAATTTTCTTTTCATAATTTTTACAGTCAATACTTGAATTACAACAAAGAATATCTCGGTTATCTAACATCTTTGAATTATTGTTTATAAACAGAACAATATTTCCCAAATAACATATTCAGCTATTACAGGTGTGTTGGAAATACCCTCTTTCAAAAATGCAAACAATAATTGTGTAATCTACAGGCTATCAGACATATAGCTTTGTACACTTTAATAAACTTTTTTTACCATAACTAAAAAAAGTAGCCCGTAAGCTTAATTTTAAGTGTTTTTCATAAATTTTCATAGTTATTTGGGGGTTTACTTGATATAGGAAAACTTTAAAATTAATGACACCCCTTTTTTCGGGTTTTTTAAAATTTTAAGAGAAACCTTTCTAAAATTTTCAAAATTGGTAAAAATTTGGAAAACAATGATGGGTTGGGTTTAAATTTTGGTACGGGCTATCAGGAGGGATTTTTTCCCAAAATTTTTGAAATGCTTGATATTAGTTTATTAGTTTCAACAATTTTTTAGTCTTGAGTTCTAAGCCTTGTATTATGCAGTTACAGTAGGCGGTTTTGCATATAAAATGTTGTTGACTAATTTCTTAACAGAAATGCTGTTACTTTTTCAAATATGACAGTTTTTTTTTTTTAAATGACCATTTTCACAATTTTCTTGGTAGGGTTTCAAAATAAATGTTGGAGTAATAAATATATCTGGATGATAATACTGAAAAATAATATCTATTATAGTAAAACAAATGATAGCTATATGCTAGGTTCATTATTTACCGCATTTCTTGTGCAACATACAGTGGGTATGTTTATGATTGACAATTAACTTAAAACAGTCCAAAACTAGGGAAAATATGTATTTGTACATTAATGTCTATTTGACTCATACATGACTGTGTTCTTTATTGCATCAATATTGGTCCGTAAGTCAACAAATTTGATTAATTTCTGAAGTCAAAAGAATTATAAAAACTTTGTTTCATATAATAGCTAACTGCCCTGATAAAATATCATGGACAAAACAGTTTTGCTCCATTAACCTGATATATTAACAGATCAGCCGTCACTTTCCAGACTTTTAAAGGCATTTCGATAAGGATCGCTGCATTCTTATTTCTGTGTTTCCCCCGGCCTTCTTATTAACAACTTCCTTCCCTCTTCAATCAATTTATGAATTCATCAAAGTTGAGCTTATGGGAAAGATTGAAGTACGATGTCCCGATTCTAATATCATGGACGTAACAGTTCTGTTCCCTGGCACACATGTCACATTCTGGATGTTATAGGGATATGAGGCTTTTCTCTGAGCTATCACTTTTCCAAACACACTTTTTTTATGCATTGACAGTTGTTATTCCTTGACAATTTTAACACTCTTTTCGTCCTGACAGTTGTTATCCAAATTCCCAATCACTCTTTCGTCCTTAAAGTTGTTATCAAATTCCCAAACACTCTTTCTATCCTAATGGTTGTTAACCAGATTTCCAAACACTCTTTTGACAATTATCTAAATTCCCAAACACTCTTTCTAATATAATATATAACTATAAAAAAAAATGCTACCAAACGAATTTATGCAATCAAAATAATTGAAAAGTTCAAGCTACTAAAAGTAATTTTATGCTCTAACAAAAAAAAAGTAACACTGAAGATTATTTGGAGATCTAATTATTTAGTGTAATGCCCAGATCTGAATAACTCAATATGAACAAGTCAACACAATATCAAGTTTATAAACGTCATATATATGTATTTATTTAATATGAAATACTATTCTCTAAGACAACACAATTGCTTAAACAATGTTTTTAACAACTTTACAATTCTTATATAAATACGTAAAACAATAAGAATTAAATGCCAATTGCGTATTTAGCATAATTTAACCTTAAGTGAGTGAGTCTGTTTTAACATCAAAAACTACTCTAAATAATCTAATATTTCGCTCACCTTATATACTAAAATAATTTACGCCTAAGACTTAATAATTCATAGAGTATATATGCATTTGTGGACAGCTAAACAATTAAATAACCAATTATGTTTGCACGATTTTAAGTACAAAAGGTACAATTCCCCGCTTTAGTGATGACAGGCCTATTAATTAACTAAATTAAGCATAGTGTCGTGACAGCTCATTAAATTTAATATAAATCCGCCTATGCATAACTATGTATTGTTGACTAATTACCGGCTAATTACCGTTATCCTACAATATCTTCCCGACCAATTAAAAATACTTACAGGTATTTTAAAATAAAACTTATTTAAAGTTAAAAATTATGTCACTTTTTAAGTATGAATGACTAAGAATAGTTTCAAGAGTGAAAAATAAAAAAAAATAAACGAAAAATTAAAAACTAAAGGTAAGCAATTGACATTTTACAATTTATATATAGCAAGAGATATAATTACCGATATACAATTTTAATCATTGAAAGTAATATTATTTAAAACCAATCATAATATTTTGTTGTTTTTTTTGTTTTGTTTTTTTTAAATATTTTTGTTAACAAACATAGAAGAAAATTATAGAATATAATTTTATACTAATATGAGAAAACAAGAAATGTTCCGTATATATATGTATCATAAAATAACTATTATCACTTATTGAATTGTCCTAAAATAACACTGTTCTGTATTGCGAGAATAACTGAAATAACACTTATCTGTCCTAAAAAAAAAAAAACATAATCACATTTTTAGTTCTAAATAAATTTTTACACCGGTATGTCCTTGTCCTAATTTTTAAATTCACATTTTAAAATTTTCTTTTGACGAAAGCAGAATCTCCCAGAATAGAATTAGTTAAAACACTATGTATAAAGTAAGGAAAACACAAAATACACTTTTAAAAAAAATAAAATTAACACATTTTCTTTATAATTTGTCCATAAAACGTAGTTTTTCTTTACTGCTTTTGAATATCTATCCTGGAGATTATGCCTCCGTGTTAACCTGAAAAGACATAAAATACAATTAAGAAACATGTACATGTAATTTGTTGTTACCACGTGACAAAAATGAGATAAAAACTAAATATTTTAAATTAACAAGTTGAAGACTTCAAGTCTTATCATTTATATATCACGGAAATGTTTCAGTATAAATTGTTATAAAAGTAATTACTAAAAGTGATTATAAACAATAAGAAAAAATGAAAAATAAAAAAAACAATAAAAGAAATATATAAAACCCGTAAGATACCCATAACCACATCCTGAAAGTAGAAATCAAAGAAATATTATAAATGTATATACAACTCTGTCACCAATATTAATATAAACAATGTTATTTAAAATAAAGAATAAAATATATCAAAATTGTTTTATAGACAGAATAAGATATAAAAGAAACTAAATGAAAGATCACTGCCATGAAATACTTAATATATATATATATATATATTCTTTTTCTTTTACTTTAAAAAAAAATTTCTGAAATTTATAAAAAAAAATTTAAACATAAAATAAAAATAAATTTTTGTGTCTTCTTTAATCCACTTCGTCCATTTTACATCTTTGTGACGTCTGCCAGAGCGGGTAAAAGTGACTTGCTGTTGCATGGTCAGCCTTGTTCGAAATTCGTTTCATCAACATATGCGTAATTTATTTTGTATTGTTTTGAAGGTATTTTTAATTGCATTTTTAGCTCGACTTTTCTATGAAAAGGGGAGCTATCCTACTCGCCCCGGCGTCGGCGTCGGCGTTAGCGTTGGCGTTGGCGTCACACCTTGGTTAAGTTTTTCGTACCACCCCACTTTATTTCAGAAGTATTACAAGTATGGCTTTGAAACTTACCATACTTGCTTCACCATCATAACCTCCATCTACAGACAAGAGTACATAACTCTGTCAAGGTTTTTTGACAGAATTATGGCCCTTTTTTGACTTAGAAAGTGTATTGAGCTTGGTTAAGTTTTTTGTACCACCTCACTTTATTTCAAAACCATTGGAGTATTGCTTGAACTGACCATACTTGTTTACCATCACGACCTTCATCAACAGACAACGAGGACATAACTCTGTCAAGGTTTTTGACAGAATTATGCCCCTTTTTGACTTAGAAAATACATTGAATATGGGTAAAATCCACTTATTGCCTTAACCCTTTGAGATATTGCTTTGAAACTTTTAATGCTATTTCACATCATTACCCCCATCTGTACGCAAGAGATTTCCATATTTTTAACCTCGCCCATCATGAAAATTAAATCTCTCAAGAAAATCTTATTTCTCTCATCAAAATTTCTCAAATGAGAGAAAATCTCTCACTAAAAATCCTGACCAGGATGATCCCTGTAATGTAATGTATTTATTCACACTCAATTAAACGATTAGCATTCTTCTTAATTAATAAATTACAATATTATGTATTTATTATGCCCCCATTTTGAAAAAAAGGGGGTATATTGCTTTGCACTTGTCGGTCCGTCGGTCCGTAGACCAAATGGTTTCCGAGTGATAACTAAAGAACCCTTAGGCCTAGGAACTTCAAACTTGGTATGGTGATTGGTCATGACCAGTAGATGACCCCTATTGATTTTTGGGGTCAAGGGGTCAAAGGTCAAGGTCACATTGACTTGAACGCAAAAACGGTTTCCGATCAATAAACTAAAGAACCTTAAGGCTAGGAACTTCAAACTTGGTATGGTGATTGGTCATGACCAGTAGATAGACCCCTATTGATTTTGGGTTCAAGGCGGTCAAAGGTCAAAGGTCACATTGACCTTGGAAAGCTAAAAAACGTTTGATCCGCAATCAATTAACTAAAGAACCTTAAGGCCTAGGAACTTCAAACTTGGTATGGTGATTGGTCATGACAGTAGATGACCCCTATTGATTTTGGAGTCAAGGGGTCAAAGTTCAAGGTTCACATTACCTTTGAAAGCAAAAATGGTTTCCGATCAAATAACTAAAGGAACCTTAAGGCCTAGGAAACTTCAAACTTGGTATGGTATTGGTCATGACCAGTAGATGACCCCTATTGATTTTGGGTCAAGGGGTCAAAGTCAAGGTCACAATGACCTTGAAAAGCAAAAACGCGTTTCCGATCAATAAACTAAAGAACCTTAAGGCCTAGGAACTTCGAACTTGGTATGGTGATTGGTTCATGCATCAGTAGATGACCCCTATTGATTTTGGGGTCAAGGGTCAAAGGGTCAAGGTCACATTGACCTT